CGCTGACTGTGACTTTTCGTAGATCTTCTGTAGCAGAGTGATCATTTTTGCGTCGACACCATAGGATTTTAGCATAGCCCAGATAATTTTATGTTTGATCGTATCGAAGATACAATGAGATTATTTATTCAAGATCAAACTTAACAGCTGCAAAACTGTTTTTATATGATCTTAATTCATACTAGAACATCATTTTTTGATAGCTTGTAAGTCTCTCTAAATCTATTATACATAATACTATTAATTTAACAATGTTATTAACAATGCTATTAGACATTAAAGCTCTACATATATCTGATTAAAATGTCTTACCAATCAATTGATTTTAATTTTCTTCGGTAAAAAATTCTTCTATTAAATTCTCTGAAAAACACATCATAATTGTCTATGGTGCAAATAAATCAATTAAATGTTCAAATTTTTTATCAAATTATTTGTTCATATGATAATATGTATGAATTAACTGGAGATTTCTAAAATTTTGTTTTCGTAAATAACTTATATAAGAAAGTTTATTCATTATTTGAATAATATCTTTAGCTCGATATAATGGTGTAGATGAATTAGATTCTAATTCAATTCATTTCAAAAAATTTTAAAAAAATCGATTTGAACAAAAATGAAGTATAGAATAATAAATTTCAATACGCATTATTATACGAATGATTGATTAAATCGCTTTTCTAATGATTCAGCTATATTCATTTTACCATGATTTGATAATGTTAAAATTTAAAACAAATTTTACATATATTTATCAGGAGTTGAAAGAAATCTTTTTTCTTTTCATCACCAATTAAATATTGAACAATCTATTGAGTTGGTGGGGAATTTGATTTTGCGGCAAATTCAAATTCCCCATCATATGTGGTCGACTACTGTCGACAAAAAATGGACGAATAGAATTTTCAGAAAAATGACACAGATACGTCTGTGACACGATGGTCGTACATGTGTCGACACGTCGTGGCACTCATTGCGTACATGTGTTGACACTCGGACACAGTGTCGAAACGTGACTGATCTTTTTGTGTCACACAACTTGTGTCGACACATGTGTCGGTAGCGTGTCCTATCGACATGGGATAAATTTACAATTGCATAGATGCCGCTTATAGTCGTAGTTTTACTTCTATCCTTTGAAACATTCATTTTATTGAGCTTATTTGGAATAAGATGTGTTTTATAAATAAAATGCGTAATAATTTCATCGTCATGCCATTAATAAGGAATACGAACACTTATAAATGGCAGATTTTAACCAATCAAATATTTCCTCTATCGCTAGTACAACACAACAGAACAACAATAAACTAAAACAAATATAGACATTCACACATCGATGAATATTTCTTTTTATACTATTCATTAAACTAATATCTCGTTTTTTTTGTTTTCAAGATCGTCTTATCTTATCTTCGTTTTTAGTTGATTAATTAAAAAGAACCGATTATTTCTTTGAGAATGGCTAGTAACTCACGTGAAGAAGAGGCTCAAAAGGTATAATATGACGTTTAGAGAATTCAATACCTACTAATTTGATTCCATTAGATGCTGAGTCAACTACAAATGAAAATGATTGATATTCAAACTTCATTAAAAAAATCTACAGGTCAAGTCGACGGACTTAAACGTGAAATTCAGCGTTCAAAATTAACTGATAAAGAAATCAATACACTTAAACCTGAAACACCAATGTTTAGTCCAGTTGGTCGAATGTATGCTTTTTCTGTTTTTTTACTTGATTAAATTCATATGAATGAAAACTATTTAGGTTCGTATTACATACGAAAGCTGAAATTCGTGAGCAAATTGAAAAAAAAATCAAGACATGTGAAGATGATATTAAAAAACAAGAAGTATAACATATTTTAATCAGTTAAATTGAATTCTATTTATTGTTTCTTTAGGCATCAAAAACATACTTGGAAAAACAGATGCGCGAATGTGAAACTCAATTTAAAGAAAGACTTGCAGTAGCAGGAGGAGCTACAGGAGGAAAAAAATCACGCTCATAGAGTTTTGTTTTTCACCTGTTTTATTAGGATGTTTGAGTTTGACTTTTAACAACTTTTTGGTTTTTTTTCTAGATGATCACAAATGAATCATCTGATTATAAAAACATCAAGTATAGCTGTCACTTTTCTTTTGTTCTATCATCGAAAAAAAAAGAATTTTTTGTTTAGTGATGGAACCATCTTCGGTATTGGCAATCCCCTACTTGATATTATTGCTGAAGTACCCATATCATTTCTTGAAACGTATGTATATAAGGATAGAGACTTAAGTATTGACTGGAAATGTGAAAAATTAAATACCGAGATGTATCAAAACATTTGTATTACTCAATCAGTTTCCTTTTTTTAAACTTGGTTGGCCAATATTCACTTCAGATATCATTGTATCTTTTTATTTCTCTCAGTAGGATATACTAAATGAATCTCTTACCTATCCTGTCCTAGAATAATAGACCATGAACTTTTCCGAGGGTAATATATCCCTCGGAAAACTGTTTCGATAGAAAAAATAGATGTTTTTAATAATGATGTATTTATAAATTCATTTTGTATTCGATTTATTAGAAGTGTATAAATAATGTTCAATAGTTTAAATTGAAAAATTTTGATTATCTTAAATAATAAATTTGAAATTCCTATGGTAAGAAAAGTTCATTTAATGCTCGATAAGATAGATACCGGTAACTACAACAAAGAAGAATGATTAAAATTTCTACGATTCATTTTCTGTCTACTTGCGACTATATAACATAATTATTCTTATGTGTTTTTCATAATAAAAATATGTTCTGTTTTTTTATTCAGATATAATCTAAAAGCCAATGATGCTATTTTAGCAACTGATGCGCATAAAGAATTGTAAGTGATTTTTCTTTACTTCTCTATTGATAATATCCTTTTTTCACAATTTTCTAGAAATGAACATGTACTTCACGATTATCCAAATCATCGGTTTGTTGCCGGTGGAGCAACACAAAATTCCATGCGAGCTGCAACAGTAATTCTCGTTTTTCTCTCTCTCAAAATCCTTTGCTCAATATGAAGTTGTATCTCTTTCCTCTAGTGGTTACTTCAACAACCTAATATTTGTGTTTACATGGGTGCTGTTGGTGACGATAAATATCATCAGTTATTACATGATGCAGCTGCTAAAGCAGGTCTACTATTATCCTATCAAGTATATACCAATCCAAAAGAACAAATACAAACTGGTACCTGTGCTGTTCTTATAACGGGTAATAATCGGTAAGAAATCGTAAAATAAAAACATTGTAAATGACCCGTTTCTTTTTCTTCAAATGTTTAGATCGTTAGTAGCAAATTTAGGCGCTGCTAATCATTTTACAATTGAACATTTGGATGAACCAAAAAATAAACAACTGATAGAAAAAGCAAAAATATTTTATACAGCTGTAAATATTTCATTATGAAAATTAATATGATTCAATCAAATTCTGGCTTTATTTAGGGTTTTTTTTATACTGTATGTCCACCGGCTGTTATGCGCATATGTGAACATGCTGATAAACATGATAAAATATTTTGTACTAATTTATCAGCACCATTTATTTGTGAATTTTTCGGTGATAAATTGATGTTAGCTATGCCATATGTTGATTATTTATTTGGTAATGAAACTGTAAGAAATTAAATTTTTTTATAAATAGAAACTAAGAAAAAAAAGATTTTGTTTTAGGAAGCCGCAAGTTTTGCTAAATTTCAATTACAATTAGATGTAAATTTCATTTCATTGTTATTGAATATTTCGGCGATTTGTTTTATATTAGACTAAAGATATAAAAGTAATTGCAAAAGCCATAAGTGAACTTCCAAAGAAGAATTCTCAACGTAAGCGTGTTGTTATTGTTACACAAGGATCTGAATCAACATTACTTGCTGTTGGTATGGACATTTTTGACGATAGAATTAATCAATTATAAAAATCGTAATGTTTAGCTGGAGAAGATATTAAAGAATTTCCAGTGAAGAAACCATTGGAAATTGTTGATACAAATGGTGCGGGTGATTCATTTGTTGGAGGTATGAAAATTTACTTTTACAAATTGTATTAGAAAGCTTTTGCTTGTTTATGTTATAGAAATAAGCGATTGAGAATATCGATAATTAAAGATCAAATCCAATGATTTACTCATCTGTCTGTTACAGTTTTCTTCTAACTTTTAAAGACAAAAGGTCATGGCTTGAGCAGAGAATGCAATTAATATAAGATATTGTCATTTTGATTGCAGATTATCATGAATAATTACATATTATGATCAGTGTTTTATTTTGGATAAAAGACTAAATATGTGTTCGTGTATCTTTCCAAAGACGACCTATTCGATGCAACACTGATTATGATTTTACTAGTGATTAGTCATTGATTCAGTTTTGTCATCGATCGCATTAAGCTGCTGCTCTTTGTTTCTAGTTCTTATCATTTTCCAATTAGATATGTTTGACCTTGACATGTCTTTAAGCAATCTGTCTGACATGTATATATTCGAATTCTATCTCTAACCAGAAATAAACCTTCCTTGTTGTCACTTTCTGATAAATAGCTCATGTAGTCAATTAAAATGTTTCATGTGATCATTTTATTTCAACTTTTATATCATTTTAATATGTTTAATCACACCTTTCCGCTTCGTATTATGTATAATGATAGAATAAGCATTAAAAAGTCAAAAAGCATAGCACGCATCGATAGCTTCTCATGCGCGAATCCGATGTGTCTGAATTTTTGCTGTACATGATTTAAATATAAACTAACGAGGGAACGTCTCCAAGTGATACCAGCCATTCGGGTTCATATTGTGTTCATCAGTAGGACCCAGTGAGACTAGAAAAGTCCTAAAAGATTTCGTTCCATCAGGCTTTTCTTTCAAAGTTATGACTGTTTTATTGAATTTTCTACCTTGGACAAGGAATTTATAGAAAAGCTGAATGAAAGAATTTCGAACTGAAATTTTTCTTAACAATAGGTCTCATTGATGTTAGAAGGTTCCAAAAGTTTCAGTGAAATCAGATGCATCATTCTCGAGATATTGAATGTTGAAGAGAAGTCAATTTTACGACAATTTTTTGAAAAATGACCGTTTTCATCAATATGCAATATCTCGAGAATGATGCATCTGCTTTCGCTGAAACTTTTGGAACCTTCTAACATCGACGAGACCTATTGCTAGGAAAATTTTCAGTTCGAAATTCCTTGTCCAAGGTCGAAAATTCAGTAAAACGGTCATAACTTTGAAAGAAAAGCCTGATGGAACGAAATCTTTTAGGACTTTTCTAGTCTCACTGGATCCTACTTATGAGCACAATATGAACCCGGATGGTTGGTATCACTTGAAAACGTTCCCTCGTAGGATCGTTTTTCTTTGTATAATGTTAGTAACGACAAATGTATGTATACAAGATTAGATGATAAGAGAAAAACCAGAACAGCAACACAGTATGTTATCAGTCATTTTAAATTTGTTTTGATACTTGTCGTCAATCATAGAACATTACCTGCAGTTGATTGACTGGAATGTATGTTTCTTATTAGACTTAGAAATAGCTCTACATATTAACCGTATGTCTAAAATAAATGAGATAACGGTACTATATAGGAAAGTTTACACATAAAACAAAATTTGTTTTTCTTCTGTAGCGTAGATATTTCAATTGGAAGCGAAAATTTACGTATGGTTACGCTTTAAAAATCGTTTGATTAGTATAATGTCAGATATTAAAGCCATAGCTAATTGAAGACAACTGTCAAGATGGACATTTTTAGATCTGAGATACTCTATAGTATAAAATAATAAATTTATTAATTAATTGATTTTAGGTTTTCTTGCTTATTTGTCTCTTGGTAAAACTCATGAAGAAGCTATTCAAGCCGGTGCTTATTGTGCATTCGAATGTATTCAACAGTCGGGTTGCACATTTCCTGATAAACCATTTTTTGATCCAACAACATTCGTTGTCTAAACAGCAATTGCTTCCAATTAGATAATTTCATTTTTACACAATACTTACAAAATATTCCAATTAAATAAAATATTATTGTTTTAGTCTTTCAATTTAGGGTTGTTAAATTCCAAATGATTTTAGGGGATTTGATTTTTAGATTTTTTATTTTGAATGACAAATATTTGAATATGTAATATTACAAAAAAAAAGAAAATTGAAAATTGAAGTAATATGGAAAATAACAGTAACAATAATCGAACGTCAGCTAATGCAAATTCATCATCTACAACAACAAATACGAATACAGCAACATTAAATTCAACATCAATGGTATCAACATCAGCACAGCCATCGGGTTCAACTGCAACTGTTCGACAGAGTCATAAACGTACTTTTGCCGAATCAGATTCATCATCACGAACTGAACGTCATTTATGTTCATTTTCACATTTATGGATTATTAAGTAAGATAACTTCCTGTTCCGTAATGATACATTTCTTTCTTAAGAATACTCTTTCAAACGGTAGCCAACATAATTATAGACTGGAGGAGAAAATTTTGATACATCGAAATGTATGGGATTATTTTAAAATTGTATAGCATCGTTTATCAAAACTCCTTCAGATTTCCTTGTTTTTGTGAGATTGATGAGAACTATGGTCATTGTTAAGCTTAAATCCATTCGTCTTGAATTGTAACGCTAATATTCGACCGAATCAAATAGTAGAAAACTTAATTCTAACTAAATATATATTTTTCTTTTAAGTTATTTGTCATCGTATGTTGAAGATTCTAATTTTACTTGTCTCCAATCTGAAACATTTTCACCTGTTAATACCCCTTATTCCAATACTCATTGGAGTTTAAAATTATATCCGCGTGGTTTAAATGAAAAACAACATACGAACAATAATATTGCAATATTTCTTAAATATGTCAGTGGTACAATGCCGAATATAAAAGCAAAAGCTGAATTTAGTGTTGTCAGTCGAAATAATGAACTTGTTATGTTACGATCCACAAATTTTCACACATTTTCCTCCGGAAATGATTGGGGTTACTCAGGTAAACATAATTATTTTAAAACAAAATTTCTTCATTCTGTCTTTTGTTTTTTATCTCTCAAGAATTTCTTGATGGAAACTATTTAAATTCTCGTCGCAATGACCTTTTAACCGATGATCGCCTTCGTGTTTATGTTCGTGTAATATTAGTCGATGAAAAAGAAACCACTACAGGCGATATGATTCATTCATCTCATCAGTATCATCATCATCACCAGCCACCCTCAATTTTGCCTCCTCAGTTACCTCCAAATCCTGCTCAACAACAACAACAACAACAACAAATAAGTAATATTCCGAAAAACCACGCTTCAACATCATCGTCAACAGCATCATCATCATCAACAACAACACCAACAACAAATTCTAATACGTCGAATGCATCATCAACATTTCCAACAGTTGCATCTGGTTTATTTACGGATGATAAAGAGCGTTTTAAATCATTAGAACTTCTATCAAATCAAATCAAAACGCTTCTAGACGATGAACGTTTTACTGATGTCCGTATTCATGTTATACCAAAACAAGAACAAAAACAATCTACAAGTGATGATCATCGAAAGTCCAATCGATTGAAACGATCACTGAATAATAAGCAACAACATCCATCTTGCTCATCGTGTCATTGTGCGCCAGAAAAAAGAAAATCTATTTCAGCAAATAATGAACGAATATTTGATCATCATCATCATGAACAGTCATCATCAGGTAAAACCACATACTAATATTTTGAGGAAAGCATCCTCTTATACTTAACTCTTAGTTATCTTAACGAAACTAAGATTTGAATTTGTTCTATTATTTAAAACACGAATAGTACGATATCACCTCAGCTTCTTTTTCTTTTGATAATTTACATACTAATCAAACATCAAGAGGACAATCTATTTCACTAGATTTTATCTATTGCCTTATCAAATGACTTTCACACTATAGGCTCAGGTATTTCTTTTTTAATCACATGTGTTGAAACGAGCAACACACATTATCATACGTTGTAGATGAATAACTTTTCTCCATAGTTCTTTTTTTTCTAAATAAATTCTTTTACTTTTAGTTACTTCTAAAGAATCTGATTCTAATGATTCTCGTCCATGTCAAACTTCTTTAACGCGTCGAGCAACACGTTCAACAACATCTTTATTGTCACGTATGGCTCAAAGTTCATCTGAAACGAATCATTTCTCTTTCGATCATTCGACATCCTCTCTTGAATCATCATCAGAAACTTGTTCATCTTCTTCCACATTATTATTAACTCCAAAATATTGTTTATGTACATGTCACAATCAAGACAATAATGATCTAGAAATCACTTACGATTTACAACAATCTCATATACAATATTCTAATATAACACCATTAGCTACATTTCATACTCACAAAGCTGTATTAGCAGCACGTTCATCATCATTCGCTAGTCAAATACGTTTAAATAATCTCAATGGATCAACTCATAATTATAAATCACCTCCAATTGATTTATATATTGATGATCTTGAACCATCAACCGTTCGAGCAATACTTATTTACATATATACCGGTCGTTTACCAACATCAAATGACGAAATAAATAATAATTTAAATCCCATTGATTTATTTCGTGCTGCTGTTCAACATGATTTACATGAGTTACGCGATTTAACTAAATCTGCGATGCTCGATGTATTAAAAATTGATAATGCTATTGAAATGCTTGAAGTGAGCGATCAAGCCAATGATGTTGCACTTAAACAACAAGTTTTGGCATTTATACGTTCAAATGCATTAGCTGTATCAAAAACAGCGAATTGGATAAATTTCACTAAACATAATCCACATTTAATAATTGATGCATTTCGTTCTCTCGTAACACCAACAACTACAAATACAACAATAGCTAAGCATAATAATAATAATAATAATAATAATTTAAATCATTATCATCATTCGACGACGCTAACAACAAGTAAATATTCAAAATATGATTGATTGATATTATGCAATAGAAAAGTATGTTTTTGGTTTTTGTACAGTCATATCTAGTGTATAAGAAAAACTATGTTGTCTTGTTCGTTCTGCTGTTTTCCTTTTTGTTTTTGTTCTCGACCGCTATTTCATTTTTTTTCTCTCGTCATGATATATCTATTTGAAAAATAAAACAAAAAAAAAAGAAGAATTTTCATTCGAATTCTGTATATGTTTACATAATATGATATTGATAATAAATTTGTTCTTTGATTTTAGATTTTTTCCAAAGATTATTCATAACTTATTTCAGATGATTTTCGAAAAGAAGTGACATTAGAGACTCATGAATCATGATGACTAATTTATTTCCCATATAATAAAAGACATTACAATAAGAATAAGCGAGAGGAGTGGGTAGATAGGAATCTTAAAATATTTCGGTTTTGTATGTCCGTATGAAATTGGATACTAACATTTCATGAGTTGAGTTTATTATGAGACAGCTTTCAATCGACTATTTGACTAGCCGTTTACAGAGAAAATAATTCATGTTTTACGCCATCATCATAGATAGATACGAATGTAGAGAGGGAGAGACAAGTTAAGAAATATCCTCTGTTAAGGGTTTTTTAAATTCATAGTAAGTATGTTTTCAAATTTCAGCTGTTGATTTTTGTACATAAAATACCTTTAATAATGAAAGTAATTTCTGGTGAAAATTTCATATGTTTTGATTTCGTTTCATTGCGAAATAAAAATTCCGACTTTGACAGTTTATGCAAGTAGTGTAAAGAACAAAATTTATTCGATGAAATCTGTCTTTTTGAGAAGTTTCCCATAGAAGTTAATTTTCCTAGTGTTGGTGAGAAATGCATGAGGATTCACATGAAATACATATTTTTGACTTTAAAACATTCAATGAAAATCAAGATAAAACTATTTCGTTGTTGTTACTTTTTCTCCAATAAACATGTTACAATTTTCATATTTAACTTAGAATGTCTACGCGAAACTGACGAGAAAAGTTCATAACTTTCTAGTTTTTCTATGAATACTTAATTTTGTCGTCGACAAGTTGAAAAAGAAAGCAATCTTTATTTGCGAACCTTTTAAGTCATTTTTCACTAGTTGTAATCTTTAATAAAATCTTTTGTTAAATAATTCATTGAAGACTCATAATTAAATGAACATAAGTTTTCGTCAGCATTGAAATCTATTGCATAATATTACTAGTAGTGCCCTCTATGGCAGTCATCTGTTTGTTCGCCAAATAAATACGTTCTTTCATTTTAATTGATTCTTCTCCTTCTGTTTCTTCCATTACTGAAATCAGCTGATGGTCTCACAAAAGAAAAATGATGCCACTTGAAGAGCAAACACGCCCCCTTCTCTTTCTTACATAGGTGAATATATTTATTCGCTTTTACTCATCGAGTTCGATTAGTTCTTTTTCTCACCTATTCATAAAATGAGTAAGAAATAGCTACTTCCCGATACGTTTTTGATTGTTAACCCTGAAACGAATAACATCTGACCAATGTTCTCTATTATAGAAATAAACAAACTGGTTTGATTTTTTTTTGATAATTCCATTTCAAATTGAATATTCATGGAAACTACGACATCAAACTCAGGCAATGAAGAACATTCACCAATGCTTACATCTTCATCTTCATCTTCATCTTCCAACTGTTTAGTAACATTGACAAATAATCATACGAATAAATTTTCCACACCAGATTATGACGAAACAAGTGATCGATTTTTAACAATTTTCTCTGCATGGGATGAACGTGAACAATTAAACTTTGTTGAAAATCTTCTTAAACACATGCATAGTCATCAACATGGACAAATTAATACTTTTCTATTACCGATGTTACAAAGAGACTTTGTTGGACAATTAGCAGCACGTGGACTTGAACACATAGCTGATAAGATTCTTGGATATTTAGATGATCAAGGTTTAAGATCAACGGAACTCGTTTGTCGTGAATGGTATCATGTGATATCGGAAGGTATGAATAGAATCCAAAATGACGAATAACATTCGAATATTATAAACTTCTTTTAAAAATTCTTGGATTTTATCGATTTATTTGTGAAAAAGAAAAGAGTCAGCCTTTGGGAAAAGAAAATCTCTAGAATTCTGATCACCTAAGTATATTGATTCAAAGTATTTCAGTAATAGAAAACCTAATGTCGTTCTTCTTTGACGGTGTAGACCACTAATTGGATCTAATATGAAAATAATGCATTGTTGACCAAGTTGTTGTTTTTCTTAGGAATGCTATGGAAGAAATTAATTGAACGTAAAGTTCAATCAGATTCTCTTTGGCAAGGTCTAGCTAATCGTCGTGGTTGGACCAAATATCTTTTCCGTCAGATACTAGCATCAAATGAAAATCAAAAAACGCACGATTTCTATCGTCATTTATATCCAAAAATTATTCAAGATATCGAACAAATTGAAACTAATTGGCGATCAGGAAGTTTTCAATTAGAAAAAATCCAATGTCGTTCACAAAACAGTAAAGGCGTTTATTGTTTACAGTATGACGATGAAAAAATTGTTAGCGGTCTTCGTGACAATACAATTAAAATTTGGGATAGAAAAACTCTAGAATGTACAAAAGTTTTAACAGGTCATAATGGAAGTGTTTTATGTTTACAATACGATGAAAAAGTTATTGTTACCGGTTCATCTGATTCAACAGTACGCGTATGGAATGTTAAAACCGGAGAATTAATTAATACATTGCTACATCACTGTGAAGCTGTTTTACATCTTCGATTTTCCGATGGTACAATGGTAACATGTTCAAAAGATCGTTCGATTGCTGTTTGGCAAATGAATTCACCAACGGATATAAATATTCGACGTGTTCTTGTTGGACATAGAGCAGCAGTTAATGTTGTTGATTTCGATGAAAAGTATATTGTGAGCGCCAGTGGAGATCGAACTATTAAAGTTTGGGTATGAAACGAAAAGTGATTTTTCTTTTTTCAAAATATCTATCTACGATTTTGTTTAAAGGATACAACAACTTGCGAATTTGTTCGAACACTACTAGGACACAAACGTGGTATTGCTTGTTTACAATATCGTGATAAAATTGTTGTCAGTGGCTCATCGGATAATACAATTCGTATTTGGGATATTGAATGTGGTGCATGTTTGCGTATACTTGAAGGACATGATGAACTTGTACGTTGCATTCGTTTTGATTCGAAACGAATTGTGTCTGGAGCATATGATGGTATGATAAAGCAAATAAAAAGTTTTGAATAGAACGAATTTTCACTTTTTGTTTTTTCATTTCGAATAGGTAAAATTAAAGTTTGGGACTTAGTAGCTGCATTAGATCCACGTTCTCAGTCATCTTTATGTATACGTACTTTAACTGAACACACAGGACGAGTATTTCGTCTACAATTTGATGAATTTCAAATCATATCAAGCTCACATGACGATACTATACTTTGTTTCAATTTTCTTAATGATTCAACATCAATAGAAAATTTAGCGACGACGACGACGACGACGACGACGACGACGACGACGACGACATCAACGACGACACCGACGATAAATAATGGCTCATAATATTTATGTTATATGCATTGCGATGCAATTATCTTTATGATCATCTCATGTTTCTTTCGGCTTTGTCTTTTATTTTGACTATGTAGTTCTTCTTTCTTTAAACGTGTCTACGTGTATATTGATCTTTTTCTGCGTATATTTGTCCTTTTTAAACTGTGCAGTGTCTGTTTCATTCATCGTTCTTTTTCTGTGGAGTGAGTATATTGTCTCCGCTGTGAAATGTACATTTAATTTGGATAAAAAACAAACAAACAAACAAACAATATGCAAAAGGCCTGCTAACAGCATTTCTGGATAACAGTTTTCTTTACTCTACTATACAATTGAATGAAAAATAATCGCTTGAAATCAATTTTTGTAACGTATTTCGGAAATTTTCTTTATGATGCAGAAAAAAAAGATAATTTTACATAAAAATACTTGTAAAAATGAGATCAACTTAAGATGATAGCTTGAAATAAAACGTCTCGCTATTCTTTAAATCATGAAAGTTTCAATAGTACTCAAGGCCAAACACCTACATTTTACTTCGTAGTTCATTCAGTGCAGACTCAACCGAAAGAGCTTTGTCTCTGTGGAACTATTCAGTTATTTTTACTCGAAAAAAAAACACCAAGATATTTTCAAGGAAAATATTAATCATTTCTGATAGAATAATAAGTCAAACATGGATTCTTCAAATATCATTCTTATATATCCACAATATTTTAGTTAAATTAGCTTTTTATCATTTTTCTAATTAAATTTTGTCTATTCAAATGTGACAAATGAGAATATTTTGTTTAAAAAAAGTCAGAAGTTTCGATTTTTGTAAAAATAATTCTTGAGACAATATAAAAACTTTTTATGATTAAAGAATAATAACAAAAAAAAGATATGATAGACTTATGTCTCGAGTTTCAATAATGTCATTTTTTAAATTCATAGAGAAAGATTTCGAGAAAAAAAAGATCTTACATTAGTTGATTTAAAACATAGTTGAACTAATTGAAATACATATAAGTTTTCCGTATCTATCAGTAAAAATGATACTACTACTTGTTCATATTTAAAACAATCAATCATGATTAAGAAAAATTGTATTCTCATCGGAATATTGTGTTCAAGAAGAAAATGATGAGTGACTGAACAAATCATTAATGAAAGAAAAGTTCTCAACTCAACATATATTTATTAATTGACGCATATGTCCATTAACTATAGCATGCCATTTTCTATAATATGATACATGAGCCATGTCATCTGTTAGTTTTATCGTGACAAATACAAAATATTTTACATGTTTGTTCTGTATTTTGTTTGACTGATGGTAATTTTTGTCTTCAAAAATGTCATGTACGACATTGAAAAGTCGCCATGGTCGAGTGGACATGTTATTCGAAAAATATCCGCAAGGTGCTGTGTTCAAACCAACAAGTTACTAACGGCTGATTGCTCCGGATGACTCATCCGATAGCGTATCGATTATACCGTATAGTCAGTATACAGAGTCAAAACAAAACTTCAATATAAATAGCACGGTCGCGTGATCCTAACATCACCGTCAACCCATAATCAATAACGGGGGAAGCGTTGGACGAATGGGGTGCAGATACCGTTGTCTATCTGTAAAAGAGAAAAAAAGATAGAATCTGGCTGCTTGTGAACCCTAGCGCTGGCCCCAACGGGAGATAAGCCTATATGAGATATTATTATCATGATATTGAAGGCAAGTGTCAAGCATCAATAGCGTATCGCGTACAGGTATGACATCGCGACATAATAAAAAACGCAATTCATCAATTTACGTGTAAGATCTTTTATGAATGCTATTTAATGTCATGAAAATGTTCTTTGAATTCAAATTAGCTTGTCTCTTTTACATTTTCTTTCAAGCTTTTATCTATATATTGCAGGAGTCTCTTGTTCAGCATATGCAAATAATATTTTATTTTACAACATGTCTCATTTTCTGTTTTCTTTTTGGCTGAATACTTAAGGATTTACTTGTAGCTCGGCTGGCAGTCGATTAGGCAGCATAGAGAAAGCAATTAGTAATCGTTTGCTATTTTATTACAAAATTGACTTTAAAGCTTTTTTCAAGTAAACAACTTCTCAAAATAGAAATGTTCACTCATTTGATTAGGTTATTGTCATGCATTCAACGTGTACTCTAATGTGATTAATCGAGTAGAGCCCTGCAAAGTCCGCGTTCTTTTTGCTTCGATTTCAACTTCAAAATTTGTTTTGTCTGGTAGATGCGACATATCGTCCATTCTATTGTTAAAATTTTAACATAGACATAGATAAATGTATAAAAAAGTTGAATGAATGAAAAAAGTCAAAGAATTAGATTCGAAAATGGATCTGGAATTTCTTTTGCATTTTTAATACACAAAAATAATTACAAGCATTCTTAACATGAAAAACATGAATCTGCAATATTCGATACGTACTATATTGAAACAATCGGTAATTGATGATGCAGACAGTGATAATACTTGAAATGAAACTGAGATATATTTTTTGATTTATCATATTATGTTTTCATGTTCCGGGCGGGGGGGGGGGGGGGGGGGGGGGGGGGGGGGGGGGGNAGGTCTCTATTATCAAGAGAAGTTTATCGCTGTGAAATATCCGGACGTGATGCCTTATCCCTAAACAGATTTATATTATGCTCGAAAGAGTGATTGCTGTTTTCATCAGGATTTGCAGAAGATCGAGTATCAACAAGTGAAAGCGCAGTCTTTTACTTTTTCTTCTTCTCATTGTATAGCTATCTGTGTTAGATCTATATCTGTCTGTGTGTCTCTAAAATCTATTATAAAAAAAAACTAGCTTCATCAGCATACGCAAGAACGAATGTATAACATAATTATATTTATGATAATGAAAGTGTTTTTCTCATTAAACATTGTTTCCTTACTCGACTAATCATGTTTGAAGAAAGAGAAAAGACTAACGTTTTTGTTAGATCTTCTTTATTATTCTTTTCTTTAAGTTGAGATAATGTATTTTTTAGTACTATCTGAATCATCATGCCAAAAGATATTCGGTGTTAAATTTCTAGTCAAATTCATATTTGATGATGACATTTTTGTTGCATGCTTCAGAGAGATTATTAAAGAAAAAATGTGGAAACTTCGGATTTCATCCGAGAGTTATGTGTACTGCAAAAAGTGCATGCGACATGAGTCATTCTAGAATGTCTGAACACGAAAATTATCATGAGAAACTAGGCAATTTGATTTCTGGATGCAGTTTTTGTGCATTTTGAAACGTTTTTCAGGCGATGTTTCGTTAGAAAGCTATGACTTAGTTCAAAACTAATATCAGATTCGGAATCAGCGTTAAAAACTGAGTCGATTTATATATGTTGTGAATAATTCTGAGAAAATGTTTTTTTGAAAAATCCCTGTACTCCCCCTCAGGGATGGTCTGATCAAAAATGACAATTTTTTCGACAACTCAGCCATTTCTTGACGGATCCTTCTCATCTTCGAACTCGACCTAGATATTGATGAGATAATTCTGTGCACAAAATTTCAGCTCAATCGAATGTAATTGTGAAGAGTTATCGAATAAACGGACGGACGGACGGACACACTGACCGATTCTATAGTGTACTCTTTTCTTTTTGAGTACACAAAAAAGAGAAAGTCTAACTACATGGACGAAAAAAAAGAGTATCGAGTTCGTTTAATAAAAGTTATTCTCTCTGGTTTGAATTCGATTGCTTGCCGGTGATTTCGTGATACAATCTTGTTTCTCATGTTAAATGTTAATCAATGAATAAAGTTCTGATTATGTTTGTGTCTCAATAGACTACAGCAAAATTCAAAATCTACATTTGTACTTATTTCTTCCTCTTCATTGGCTCATTGTTACAGAAATATAAAAAAGAAAACAGCCGTATAACATAAAACACTACATTCTCTTTGATATCGTTTATTATCTTTGTTGTAATTTTTTCCGCCTACTATATTAGCGCTATGCGTGACAGTTAATTCGAAAGAATAACTTTATTGACAATTTTAGCAATGAAGATTATTCAGCTAATTTCTATGGCAAAATGTATTTGTCTTACATACATCAAAACAAGTTTATATTCAAGCGAGATAGTGATGCACACAAGAGAAAAGCCTTACAATACAAAGAAGAAGGAGGCGAAGAAGAAAGGAAAAGGAACGATAAAGAGAAGAAAGAAGAGAAGGAAAATATTAGTGCATAAGTGAATGATAGTGAAATCGGTAAATTACAAAAACTTGCACAACAATTAAACGACCATTTGTTCTCCTGTCTATCATAAATCATGGCATCGAATTTCACAGTTCCCGTGAGTTTAAATGAAGCATTTGTTATAACTTGAGATGATGACTTCACCTATTTATAGATTCCCATCGTTTACGTTAAAAATGAAATGTTAATTCGTTCAGAAATTTCACGACGTTCATTTGTTATTCATTATCTAAGTATCTACGCTCTTGTACTTACTATATTTGGTACTATTGGCAATGTTTTAACGATAGTTGTATTATTCAGGCGTCATCTTCGTCGTTTTGTAACTGTACGCTATTTAATTGCTGTTAGTATATGTGACATTATATCATTATATGGATGGAATTTAAATAATTTTTATAAATTTAATATTAGTCCTGTTGAAGGAAATATCGAAGATTTATCTCTTGTTCATTGTCGACTAATTTCATTCATGACATTTGTTGCCTTACAACTATCAAGTTGGTGTCTGTCAGCCGTTAGCCTAGGTAACAACATTGAAAAAGAAAAATTTATTATTTGAAGACGTTTAAATTTTCTTTTGTTTTCTCTCTCTCTCGATTTATAGATCGTTGTCTTAGTCTTTATTGGCTTCAATGGAAAGAGTCATACGGAAAAATTAGATATACTAAATATTATCTTACTTTTCTAACTTTAACTTGTCTTGCCGTTAATAGTCATATATTATTTTTAAACGGCTATAGTACACCGTCGAATGGAGTTATGTGTTATAGAACCAGTACAAATTATCATTATATTTATCCGCAATGGGAACGGGTTCATTTAGTTCTTTACAATCTTTGTCCATTTGCTATCATGTGTATTTGTAACACATACATTATATATGTTACTGTGAAATCAAGTCGATCACACAATTTAGGCGGTTCAAATAGAAATAATCGAAAAAATTTGGAACGATACCGACAATTCACTGCTTTACTTATAATTGTAACATTTGCGTTTGTCATATTGACTCTACCAGCTTGTATCTATTTTGTATTTTTCCGCAATAATGTTGCATTAACAACACAACGTAACTATCGTTATATGATTCAAATATTTTTGAATTCAATTCAATTTACATGCCATGGAATCAACTTTTTTCTTTACTGTTTTTCGGCGTCAAGTTTTCGCCATGAATTGTATGGGATGTTTCGAGAGCTAGTGTACCATTGTCGTTGTAAATGTGGTTGCCTTTATCATAATGATCAACAGAATATTCATATGCGACGTTATAAACATGGCAATCATGCGAATGCATCACCGTTGGAGCGTTAACGAATGTACCCTCCTTGAGAAAATCGAATGAATGATTACAAATCTTTATTTTTCTTCTACAAACGCAAATCGTTAACGCAGTTAAAAATAAAATAGAACCATCGCTAACAAGAGAATTTAAAGACCTAAAATAAAAATATTCCTTTTGTGATCACTTTAAACAAAGTTTTGCTTTATTAACGTTTAATTATTGTCTTTCCGTTGATGACCAACTGCCAATTTGATTTGATTATATCAATATTAATTCGATTTCATATCTAGCTTATTTTCATTACCTATTTTACTGAAATATTCGCATGCTTATAATTTGGTGAATTCCAACAAATAATTTATATAGATGTGTTGACTCTTTTTTTTTGTAGCAATCTACTTGTCTATGCTTGAATGTTCCTATTTCTTGTTATATATTTATTACACTCTATTCTCATTATTATTTATGTTCGCTTATGAAAGTGTCATGTACGTAAAGACTATAGAAAACATCGAAAAGGGATACTTTTATTATATTATGTAAATTACAATGACATTCCTACAGAAAAATGCAAGGTTTCATAGATAAATTGCATAGACCATCACGTCACAAGTTTCGTTGTCACTGAAATTTTATTATTGTGCTCTCGTTTCTTGTTTTTATATTGTTATTGCTGTCTCTGATTAATATTGAAGTCAGTCATCATAAATATTAAATACAAAAGATCAAATTATATCGATGGAAGTGAGCTTAAATGCAAAGAAGAATTAAGTAATATAAGTTGATCAAAGTATGCCTCAATAAAAGTGAACTGCGCGATGGCATATGAAGTGTGTCGGCAATCGAAGAAGTTTACAAATATTTTTCTTCTGATTATTTCAATCTTTTAATAAGTTGTGAAATTCGACCAATTAATAGGTAAATATAGTCGTGACGACAAAAATTTTACTAGGACATTCTAAATGTGTTGACGATCGAAGTTTCTTTTTTGATCTCTTTATTTAAAGAAAGTGCGGATTTACCTTTAATAGAAAGTAAAAATTCAAAAGTTTTCCCCACCCTACTCGATGATATTGATTCAAGGCAGCATTATTATTTTTTCTTTTTAATTAATTATTTTATTCAAATGATGACGATGCCATCGACTAGAAAGATAATCTGATGGTGATTTTTTTGCTTCTTATGATTTGCATCGAACTCGAATAATTGACAAAATACTTGTGTTGTAGAATCGGGCGATGCCATATATTCAGTGAAGTTTTCTTCGATTACTAACTCCATCTGCGAAAGATCTTGAGTTTCGTAATATTCTTAACAGCTGAAGCCACAGCTGGAAAAGAAATGTAATTGGCTCCTAACAAATTATAAAATACCAAATCCATTAGATGTGAATAGATTTTCTGTCTTTGTTGGCATACTACGTGTCTTTTTTTAAATATAAATCTTAATTATTTCACCACGCTTCTGCTTTTCATGCTTATTTTAGAACATTTTATTTATCTTCATTTAATTTAGTCTATTATTAAACTATGGTAATAATTAAATCGAATTTTCGATTCAAATAAATCAATGAATTTATTTAGCCTTTGCGTCTTGACGTCAAACGCAAATTATCAGTTCGATCAGATCGAGTCAAATGTGTTGATATTCATCCGAATGAACCATGGATTTTAGTAACATTATTTAATGGTCAAGCTCATATTTACAATCATGAAACTCAAGTATATTTTTGTTACCTATATCTATTCATCATCATCGTTTATCAAATATTTTTCTTCTTCTTCTTTTTCTTCGTAGCAACTAATTAAAACTTTCGAGATATGTAGCGTTCCTGTTCGTGCCGGTAAATTTGTTGTTCGAAAAAACTGGGCAATTACTGGATCGGTAAGATTTTCTTTTTCTATTTAAATTTTAACTTGATCTTCTTACCAGGACGATATGTGTGTACGTATTTATAACTATAATACTCTCGAACGTTTACATAAATTCGAAGCACATAGCGATTATATACGTTCAATAGCTGTTCATCCGACTCAATCATATATACTGACTAGTAGTGGTATGTGTTACGTTCTTTTCAATATGTTGATTAGTATGAATATTATTTTTTAACAGACGATACGACAATTAAATTATGGGACTGGGATGCTAAATGGGCGTTAAAACAAACATTTGAAGGACATATGCATTATGTCATGCATATAGCTATTAATCCCAAAGATAATAATACATTTGCATCAGCTTCTCTCGATCGTACTGTTAAGGTAAAATCATAACGGTTAATTATTTCATTTTTGAGCTATTTCTAAATCTAGGTATGGCAATTGGGATCAAGTCAACCGAATTTTACTCTTGAAGGACATGAAAAAGGTGCCAATTGTGTTGATTATTATCCAGGTGGTGATAAACCTTATCTTGTTTCCGGTGGTGATGATTGCCGTATAAAAATATGGGATTATCAAGTAAATATTTTTTGTCTTTTAATATATTTTCAATGAAAAATAACAATCTATTTAATTTTCATGTAGAATAAAACATGTGTACAGACATTAGAAGGACATGCACAAAATATTAGTACTGTTGTATTTCATCCTGAATTACCAATTATACTGAGCGGATCAGAGGATGGTACTATCAAACTGTGGCATTCCAATACATATCGTCTTGAGTCTACACTTAACTATGGTCTTGAGCGATGTTGGTCTATAGCATGTTTACATGGATCAAATAATGTTGCACTTGGTTACGATGAAGGAACAATGATGATCAAAGTATCTGCTTTAAATAAATAAATAATAAAATATAGCTAAATATTTATTTTTTAGTTGGGCCGAGAAGAACCAGCTATGTCTATGGATGCTTCAAGTGGCAAAATAGTATGGGCTAAACATTGTGAAATTCAACAAGTTAACCTAAAACAATTGAGCAGTGAACAACAGCTGCGCGATGGTGAAAAAGTACCATTAAATGTTAAAGAATTAGGTAGCTGTGAAATATATCCACAAACATTATCTCATTCACCAAATGGAAGGTTGAGTTAAATTTAGTGTTTTAATTCTGGATCGCTTTAGATTTTCTTTAGATTTGTTGTTGTTTGTGGCGATGGAGAATATATAATTTATACAGCAATGACATTACGTAATAAAAGCTATGGAAATGCTATGGAATTCGTTTGGTCAGAAGATTCATCGGAATATGCTATACGGGATGGAAATTTGGTTAAAATTTTTAAAAATTTCAAAGAAAAAAAAACATTTAAACCAGAAACTGGAGCTGATGGTATGATAAATATAGTTTATGAATCTCATAAAGATTTTGTTCGCTGCGCATAAATAGAAAGAATTCGAATAACTAATAAATGACTTAAATTTTATTTTTGTAGCTATTTTTGGTGGTCATCTTTTTGGTGTTAGATCGAATTCAGGTTTAACATTTTATGATTGGGAAACAACAAGTTTAATTCGTCGAATTGAAATTGCACCAAAAACTGTATGTTTCACTTATTTTGTTTCTATTACTTGACTCATTTCATGAATATCAACCATAGATCTATTGGAGTCAAACTGGTGAATTAGCTTGTATTGCAACAGAAGAATCTTATTATATTCTTCGCTATAATCCTCAAGCAATAGTTGCTGCATCTACCAATAAAGATCTTATTTCTGAAGATGGCATTGAGGACGCATTCGATGTAAATATCACTATGTTTTCCTTTGTGACGTAGTTATCTTTTGTTTTTTTTTAAGGCTCTAAGTGAAATTTCTGAAGTTATAAAAACAGGTATATGGGTAGGTGATTGTTTTATTTATACGAATTCTCTCAATCGAATAAATTATTATGTCGGCGGCGAAATAGTAACGGTTTCTCATTTGGACAAGTAATAAAAACAATTTTGTCTATCACTATTTTTTTCTATACTAAATCTGTCATATTTAGAGTGATGTATTTATTAGGTTATATGTCTAATGAAAATCGTTTATATTTGGGTGATAAAGATATGTCCATTGTATCATTTGAATTGTCACTATCAGTTCTTGAATATCAAACAGCTGTTATGCGAAAGGATTTCGCAACAGCTGATCAAGTTCTTCCAGCAATTACGAAAGAACAACGAACACGTGTGGCACATTTTCTAGAAAAACAAGTTCGTTCGTAGACTTTATTGTTCAATTGATATTAAATTCACTTTTTGTTGTAGGGTTTTCGACAGCAAGCGTTGACAGTTACATTGGATACTGAACATAAATTCGAATTAGCTCTTCACTTAGGAAATTTACAAGTTTGCCATGAACTTGCTGTTGAATTAGATAATGAACAAAAATGGTTACAACTATCTGATGTTGCTACGAAACAAGGAGACTTTTCTTTAGTACAAGAATGTCTAACACGTGCACAATCATTTGGTTCACTTATTCTTTTGGCAAGTGCATCCAGTGACCAACAATTAATGTCGACTATTGGTGAACAATCACGAAAAGCTGGACAATTCAATATTGCGTTTCTGTCAAATTTTGTTTTGGGAAAATTAGATCAATGCTTAGATATTCTTATTGAAAATCAACGTTTACCAGAAGCAGCATTTTTTTCTCGAACATATCTTCCATCGCAAATAAATCGCGTCGTTGGATTGTGGAGAGAAAAATTAAAAGAACTGAACATGGAACGTGCAGCACAAACATTAGCGAATCCAACAGATTATAAAAATCTTTTCCCAGGTTTTATTGATACGAATAAAACAGAACAGTTTTTAAAACAAAACAAAGAAACCACATCAGCTAGAAATTATCCAGTACAGTTGGTAAAAAGATTAATATTTGTTTGAAACGATCTTATTTGAAGTTGCTTCTTTAGCCGAATTGGGAAAGAAATCCAATCGCTGAAATGAAAGAAGCCGAAGAGAATGGACAATTTTCTTATATCCCAATTCAATCAAGCCAAATAATAACAGATGATAACGAAGACAACTTTGATGATGCGAATGAAACATCAACACAATCTACAATTAAGGTTGAACATGAAAATTGATGGTCATTGAATGATCTTTATTAATTTTCGATAGTACTAGTAGAGAATACAAGAGTTCGATATTTATCTTAATCAAGACGAGAAAAAAAGTATTCAATTAACTGTTGATGAGAATGAGCTAAGACAATATCTCCTTTGAAAATAAAACTAAAACGATATTTTTACTATCTAAATTGAATTTCACTACGTAGTTTTTCGATATTTTAGGATCTTCGACTCGATGATGATGATGAATTTCTCAACGATACATGAAAAAAATGTAATATACATGTATCCAGTTCCCAATGGTATTTTATTCAATGAAATCCATGAATATCTGTTTTTTTCTCTCTCTCTCAGTTTGTAACATATCGTTAATTTTTTTTCCTCATTTTTTTATTTTGGTAACATGCGTCTAATTTTGAGTTCTTCTATTTTCTCATTCAATCCTATTGTTATGAAGCCACAAATCTCAATGTTTCTCTGTATAAATTGATATTTTATTCAAGATCATTATTCTTTTATATGTCATATGTTATTTGTAATGGGTTATAAGTGTTATCCAGTAAAACTAAAGGAAATTTTTGAAGAATTCATTCATTATCTCAACAGACAATACTTATGACATGGTAATTTTCTGTAAACGTAGACAAGCAAGTACTCTCCATCGCCAATGCTATTCACTTGATATCAAAGAAAAATACAAAGAAAAATGCATCATCTGATTTGAGATGTCATACTGACATGAAACCTGTGAATTTTCGTGTTCAGAAGTGTAACATTGTTGAGTACTATCACTACAACAGCAATTTTTCAGCACGATAATTATCGTCGGATTATTTAATCGGACGTCAAAGACAAACAGCTCTGGATAAAATGTCGACAGATCGCAAGTAAGAAGAAAAATGATGATATCGATAGTAAAATTCTATTGATGTGCTTTTTTTCTCTCGTTATTTTGCCCGTTATTAATGCAACTTCGTTTTTCACAGTTCAGCTTTAAGAAAAAAACCAAAACAAGTAGCTAATCAACATTTTGACCAGTTTCTAATTCATAGAGCGAACTCATGTACGTGCTGATTGGTATTGGACATAAGTTGCAATGACAATGTTTTCGTGCATTTATTCGAAGTATTATTACGTTAAAGCCCCTACATAGTGAGCAAGAAGTTTTTCTCTGCAATTTTGCGATGAACGTAAAAAATCTAATGGCTTCCAATTCCTATAGCACATAATTGAATTATTATTTGTTCCATGAATCAAAGATGTTAAGCCAAAAGTTATTTTCATTTTCTACTAATTCTGTATGAATTTGATAAAAATCAAAAGTCACTATCAAGTATTAGCGTGATATGATATTTTGAGACTGCTAGTTTCATTGGTATACCGCTTCGATTAAATAATTCTCGATCTAAAATGCATGAATTCAAATGTTCACACACGAATATTTAAAAGAACATATGAAAATACACTGCTCAGGTCGTCAAATCCGATACAGGATCCTAGCGAACAGACACAATCCGATAGGATTTCCGGGTTGCGAAATCCAACAACGGATCCGAAAGTCGGATCCCTGTGATTATCCACCGATCTGCGGCTGCCGGAACCAATAAACTTTCGTACTATCGGTTTCGATCAGTTTCAAATAGGATCTGATGACTATATCTACATTTCATGTCCATAGTCAATGCTTTTCCATCCCATATAATTCAAGTCACATCAGCATTTAACGGTAAACTTTTTGAAAAATTATCGATGAAATCCTTCATGTTTCTTACGAGTTTCAAAGACGTTCTATATCGTCAACAGACACACCTTTCCACAAAGTCATAAAACAGATTTTTCAAAATCATCATACTTTGCAACAGAGCTGGGCAACTCAATTCAAAAAATGCCCAACTCAACTCAACTCAACTCAATTTCTGAGTTGAAATGAATCGAATTGGACATGTGCTTTTAGAGTTGATGAATTGTGTTGAATTGAATTGAGAGAATGTTTTCTGAATTGGCGAATTGAATTGAATTGAGTTGGAAAAGAAAGTTATGACCAAAGAATTGAAATGAATTGAATTGGAAAAATTTTAGCGAATTCGTTAAATTGAATTGAATTGAGTTGAAAATTTTTCTTCAAGATTGATGAGTTCAATTCAATTCAACTCAAAAAACCCTCGCAAAATTTTTCTGTATGATTGATTAATATAATTGAATTGGAAATGGTCAGTGCATGATTATGATTTAGTTTTTAGTTGTTATCCAAGTATTTTGTTTTGATGAGGCTGATTTACTACACGTTTCAATATATATTTATTTGTTTATATTTATTTATATTTCTGTGGAAATTCCTTAAGTTTACCGTTATTTTCTTCTTTTATCTGTTCGATATATTTATTAGTTTTATCTACTAATGTTTTCAATGCACTGACATCAATATCGATTCTTACGAATCATAAGTGAAATGTCTATTCATCTGTTTATCTATGGTTAACATCGACATGGTATTTGTTTTGGTGAAGTGATATGATATCAGTTAGATAATGTAATGGACGGTGATGAAGTTAACATACAGGATGGTTAGCAGTTTAGAAAATTCGAGAAACGTCTTCGATTTGTTTAAAATAAACCGCTAAAAGAAGAATTCAACAGAACAACAATAAACTCTTTTTAACGCTTTCAACTAATGATAAACCAAAACAAAATTTGTTACATAGAATTTCGTAATGAGACTGAGTTGATTCCAACCCAATTCAGTAATTGAATTGAGTTGAATTGAGTCGGAAAATGTTTTTCAATAGTTATGAATTGAATAGAATTGAGTTGAAAAAAGTTTTCAACGTAAACCAATTGAATTGAATTGAGTTGGAAAAATTCTTTAGAGATCGACAAGTTGAGTTGAATTGAATTGACTTTTCTTTCAATGAATTGAATTGGACAGCTTTTTGAGTTGGGTCGCCCAGCTCTGCTTTGCAATAGTTTACCGTGGTCCAGCAATCCGAATCTGTTATCATTTTTTCGAGGCAGCCTTCCATCGGTCGAGTGTGGTGGTACATGAAAGAAGAACTACACTCACACTTTCATCTAGACCCACGCCCGCACCCTCTTTTTGCAGGATATACTACTCTACGATTTGTTTTACACTGCACGGTTTTATTGAAAGCAACATTGCAAGTATTGACATCTTGCTTGCGTCATACCACTTGCATCATAAAATTATCGCATTGCATTATCAAGAAACAACACAAAGATAGATTGCTTTATTTTAACGCACGACTGTTAACTGGGATATAAAAACATGTCGCAATGTGAAGCAAATTAAATAGTAGAGGGTTCTCTGTCAACAAAGTTAGTAACTGACTCGAGGTTTATTCTACATTTATTTACAACATAGGTTGGGTGAGGGTTGGGGGTGAGAGTGCCGATGTATTATTCATTAGATGCGCACACCCACGCTCTCAAGACATTGACGTGGAATATGGGCATTGCGTATATCCAGGTCGAGCATTACGGCCACCAGAAACGGTCGTATACGGCCGTTAACGTATACTGCCGTTTCTCACCGTAAATGGCCGTAACTTGACGTTTTGGCATGCACCGTATTACGGCCGTAATTAATCGTGTCGTAAACGGTTACTAACGAGCGTATCCGATCGTTTATGGCACGATACAAAACGACCGTAATACGGTGCATACCAAACGACCGTAAATTATGGTCAAACGGCCGTGCCCGACACAAGTTGATCGACCGGGGTAATGACTATTTTTCGTGATATTTTCATTACGTACAGCGGAAACTCCTAAAAAACTTAGGGATTTTCCGGAACATCAACAAGCCTTTGTCGGGTCAACGCTGGAGGATGAGGCGTGCATTAAGACACATCTAGATCAATAGTCACTATTAGATTGCTATTAACGCTAACTACGCCATAGTTATTTGTTTTACTTAATCTACGTAGTGATATTAGTACTAAGGTGACGATATTTCATGCTGCTGTTCGTCATGTATATGTTGACAGAAATCGTCTAGCATTCCTCTTCTTATCTTACATTTTAAAGTAGCCTAAATCCTTTCAGTAGTGGGTTAGCGACGATTACGTCGCGTTACTTGTTAATAAGTCTGTCTACCAATCAATTCAACTCAAGAAATGTTATTGATTCATATGGGTGAGGGTCTTAACTGAGAAATTATTTGAGAACATAAGCCTGCGTAAAGATATTTTCTGATGTAGTGCAACAATTGCTCTTCAGATTAGTAAGCTCATCATAAGAATGACTAAAAATTGTTAATATTCTGCAGAAGAAAAAAACACGTTTGCTAAACTACATTCATAGAAAGAGTCTTTGTAGATCTTTGCATAAACGAGTGCTGATCTTTTTCTTTAAAATGAAGGATATTTATTTTCTAAGTTTTAGCTCTGGCAATTGTAACGTTTGATAGAAGGAAAAGTCAAAAATGTATATTTGGTAATCAAACTGTACTTATATGTGCTTTTTTTAGCATATTTCAGTGATGACTACACAAGAAGTTCTTGTGACTGTGAAGGGTCATGCTCGACTTATCGAGATTGATACGAACACGGTGACGATGGATTCCATATGTCGGCAGATCAAAATTGCTGTAGGTTTAGATGATGACACGCCCACTTTAATAGAAATCTACAATGCCAAATGGAAGAATTTTGTTGCATTTACCAAAATTAAACAACTTTATCAAGAGAGAATGATTCATTTTCAATTAGATGAAGTAACAAATCTGCCAGATCTAAATTTACTGGTACGTAAAATATGAGTCATCGATTCACTTATAGAAAAGGGAGATATAAAAGATAAAAAAGATGCTTAATTCAATGGGAGAATTCATTTGTATTTTGAGATTGAATTTCATGAGACAAAGTTCAAAATTTGTGCATATAATTTAGTATTCAAAACTAAACATTTCAATCTGAATGAATCGATTCAACAATCAGACCCGATCCAATCCTACAGGAATTCAATCGAATTTTATGTGAATTTCAATAAAATCGATGAAACACTATGGGAATTTCGGGCCGCGCAATGAAATTAGAATCCTAAATATTGGAATCGGATAGAATCTAACGCACCCCTATAACTGTCCTTTGATGTTGCCGTTATCCAAGGTCCAACAATGAGTGGGGTAAGATCTTGTCAGATCATAACTTTGATCTTGTGTCACCTTATAGAAATGCGTGGGTGCCGCTTAGCCCTTCATACACCCACGCCTTCATTTTTTCAGTTTAATTTCTTTTAATCTTTGCAGTTCTGAAACTTCAAGCTAATGCAATCTTGGGGTCTGTTCAGTATTGAGTGATCGGATCGATTCATGATAGTCATATGTTGATCATTGGTCGAGATAGGCATTTTATCGACTAATAAATAATCGAGAAAAATCTAACATGAAATCATATAAGTTTCGTATGTTCAGACGAGTTGCTTATGTGGAGCTGTATGTGAAAAAAGAAACGGTGAACGAATAGTCGCCAAACAGAACGCTAGAAACTCATCCACTACATATTTTCGTGATCTAAATGCGAAACTATAATTTGCAACATTTCAGTGCAACACATTTTATTTTGATTTGCAGTTATTGCATCGTGTCATACATCAGTAAATTTATATATTTCGATGCATAATTGATTTGTGATTACAAAAGTACTTAAATGCTGCACGCTTAAAAATATCTAAAATTTTCTCTAACTATGCTAGGAGATGGGAACAACCGACAAATAACGAGTGCCGCATAACAAATGACCGTTTTTTGGCACTTTCTTTGTCTATCATCTAATACATTTATTTGGGTGTGAGTGTGATGTTTGGGTATATAGGAGAAATATATCCATGCCTACGCTCACATACATAACCTGATAGTTACTCAACTGTCTATCTATTAGCAAATCTTTGTTTTATGCTGAATTTTACGATTTTTTTTCTGAATACTAGATTCCAGAGGTAGAAAAATTAAAATGTGTGGACGATAAATGGAGTGGCACATTCAAATCTCTAGGAGCAGCGATGAGCGTCACATTTCAACATATTTCGAATTCGAAAAATGCCACAGCATTACAATTATTGAATGGTTGTTTAGCAGGACTGAGAAATCCGAACCAAGATTTATTCTCATTGCTTAACTCATTTCTTCGCAAAGCTGATGGGCAAAACCATTGTGAAAACATATGCTCAAGTATTGACGCTCTGTTGAAAAACAAAGGCAATTCTGTTAATCCTCAAGATTGCGCAGAATTATGTAAAGTATGTGTTGAATCAATTGGAACCGTAGGCAATGCCTTATTATATAGCATGTCATTTGGTTTTATGATAGCTATAGCAAGTCAATCCTATCAAATATGGAGAACTTATAACGAAATAAAACAAGCGCAGAATATCATAGAAGATTCAAAGCAATTGTTAACGATGATTGATGAAAAGATCAAAGGTATTGAAAATAGATTAAAATTGATACGTCAAACAATTGAGCACAATAACAATAATTTAACAAGAGATGGAATTCTTCAAATGCAAAATCTTGCTAAAGAAACTGATAATATTTGTAACTCGGTCAAGCAAGATCTTGACAAAATAAAAATAAATATCAATAACGAAGTCAAGTATTTGAATATTTATGGTACACAGCATATAGTAGATACTGTTACAAATATTGCACAAGGAGCAAATGCTATTCATACACTTTATCATGTCTGGGATTCCTTGTCAAATGCGTCGTCGACTGTAAAAACAGTTGCTGCGGTTACTGGTACTTTATTTACTGCTATGACAGTGGTGAATATGGCTTATACAATAATTACAAAAGAGAAGATCAAAGAATTACGACAGATAGCCGAGCACTGTGAAAAATTAAAAGCAAATGCCGAAAGCTACGAGAAAACTATTGTTCATTTAAATCAGTTCTTACAACAATTAATGCGAGACGCTGAAGACGTTGATTGAATAAAATTTCCAAGTTATGTAATAAGTATTACAAAACGAAAAATACAAACTATTAAATTTGATGCATCCGTAATGGGAGCATATAAACTTTTCTTTGCCACGGTCATCCTTCATTGCGCAAACTCTTGAGAGAGCTTCCATGAGTTGATACATCGTTCTTCAATCAAACAGCAATACCCAAGAAACGAAAAGTAAATAAGCTACTTTGGGCAAGGACAGTAAGCAAAGAAATGAGATTGAAGTCATTCCAATCCATCTAAAAAGATATTTAGCGTCGATGCTTACGTGATCAAAGCAACGTTAACTTTATGTTTAAACAGAACTGCTCATTCCAACAAGTCGTATCCTATGTATAGAATATCTACTTTCTAGTGCTCAGAAGGCGATTGATATGTTGTTGATCAGCAGTACTTGTAGAAATATCGAATTGAGATCTATAGTCATTCACACCAATATGCTGAGTCGAATTGAGCTACTCTTCCTATGCAAAAAAGAATGATGGGAAAAATCTGATTTTAATCATACAGCTTGAAAATAGCGCTTTTCTCGAAATTCGATCGCGAAACCTTGTGTTTTTATCAGTTTGTGTTAGACACCTCGTGTGTATTATACATAAAACTGAAACTAAACATACGCTGGTGTATTTGAATTTACGGCAAACTCATTTTCACGCAAAATTTCTGATTTTCTAACAAAATCAAAAACTATATTGGTATAAGCGGTATAGCGGGTATGAGCTGAGTGGCAGTGAGAGTGTCCTTGATATATCCATCAGGGTACATGTAAGGATGCTTGAGGGTGTCGGTGAATGTCATTGTACCATTAGCCCACTGCATTTTTTCTTTGAATAGAAATTCACAATTTTTTAGTTAAAGTGAATTTGCTGCAAATTCGAATACTCCATGAAGTCATTGAATACTATGGAAATCTTTTTGCATTACACTTGGGAGGCTTGTCGTAGCTATGAATCCCATCATTTTGATTATAATCATTAGAAACAAAATATATATCCTTCTCCATCTTGTTTTCTTCTACCGTTATTCATGTAGTATCAGCTGTATTTTTTAACCTGAATTACTGTAATTCTTACATTATACTAAGTGCGCACATTCCAAGTCATTCATTGTCTCAATTAAAATACCAAAGAATCAATTCGAAATTATTGATAACTTGCACAGCTGACCAACGAATAGAAAGAATAATACAAACGGTTAATAGCATTGTGAACGATGCCTGAATTTTTCTCGGATATGTATTTGCAATTCTACAGCAAAATCATATAGATATGCTTCTATGAAGAGTAAGATTCGCAGATGGTCTCTTACGTGTTTGTTTCTACTGGGCACTTTTCTTTTAAATCATCCTGTTGTGTTGTACTTGAGCAAAAGCTAAAGGTGCTTTAAGTTTTAACAATTGACGCATACGTGGTTGAGCTAATTGCATATGTTCTAGTGTTAACTTAATGTCTGTGCCAAGAAATTCAATAGTATCGTGTAGTATTTGTACACATTTAGTTAATTTTTTTGCAAATTCAAATAATGTTGTATATTCTTCATGTAGAATATGTTCGAAATCATCTTTTGTTAAGAGTTGTGGATACGAATTATTTACTGATTTAATTAATTTTTCAAGTTCAAAATCATTTTCTAACTCATTTAATCCGTATGCATAATTATTTCCATTGGATTGTTCATTTGGAAATGATAAAATAAACATTTGACTTGGATCATTCGAATTTGTTGTTTCTAATAAATCTCGTTTTCTATTAAGACAACATATTTTCACGTAATACATTTGATTCAATGTCGATATCTTTTCATTTATGGCTTCTGCATGTAGTTTAGTTGATTTTAGATCAGCAATACATTCATCGATTTCATGCTGTTGTTCAATAAGATATTGAATGGATTGTATACACATTAATTTTATTTGATATAACTTTTTCAAACATTCGTTACATCGAATTCGTTCTTCATTCGTTAAATTCATGAAAAACAAAAGAAATTTTCAATATTTAGGCGCGTTTATAAATTTCGCCCACAAATATAATTACTCCTGTCGATTGCTATTCATAGTTAAACAAATCCAAATAGAAGTAGTTCTGATGAAAAGAAGACAAAATGCAGTGATATTATTTATTATCGAAGAAAAAAATGAACAGGACAAAGTAAATGGCAGATAGTTAACTTTTTTCTTTATCTAAGGCCTATCTAATTCAAATAGCCAAGATAGAACATACGCCATACTATATGTGATGTTCATACATTATGCCGAGTGCACTGTCATGAGTTCATATTCATTAAGTGGTTGAAAACTAGTTTTTCGTACACAAGCATCAATAGTTCTACCGGCTACAATAAGACTTATTAAAAAAATAATAAATAATAAACACGAAATTATTAGACAAACGATAGATAAAATCTGATCAATGCGTACAAATTTTGATATTGACTGGCCTCCGATGACACCATAAATACTCTTCCAGCCAGCAATTATTGTTGAATATGTTGCTATTAAAAATATTAACAAGAATATTGACAATAGTGAACAAATAAAAAATGTAATAATTGACGAATAACTTTCTCTTTGACCACTAATGATACCCAACACGCCTGTCGCAAAAAACACCAAACTAAATAATAACGTAGCTGTTGACCATGGCCACATCCAGCGATTTTCTAATTTAAGATTTATAGAATTTCCATTAAAATAATTTATCGGATCAGGAAATATTGAATATATAAATGTTACATTGGAATCATTTCGTCCACGGTTATTGGAACCCGCATAAAGTCGCCCGAATTCTGTTGATAGTAAACCTGCAGTGAATAAAAATATTAAACATCCTAGTGTGATACCAGATGCACGAAATGCATAACACTTTTGGTAATTATGCCTCATAAATGTTGTAGACAAAACTCAGTTGTGAGTACAGTAACAGAACGGCAATAATTTGAGTGATGATACAAATTTGTTAACGGTTTACATTAATGCAAAGAAAAATAATCGAATCTTCAATAAGAACGATATCAACTTGTACCGAACAAACGAGAAAAGGAAGAGATAGAAAAAAAGGTAATAGACAGAAATAAGCAAATTTTTTGGCTTGATTCTAATTAACTGCTTCATCTTGTAGTCTAGCGTGAGAAAATATGATAATTTTTTTCATGCAAGCAAAAATCAAAGTAGTATGCAAAACAAGAATAAGGATGAAAGCATATCTTGATAGTCAATCAAGCGTGAACAATATTTGGAATACGACAGCTAGAATTATCATTTTGTAGAAATTATCGAACTAAGTGATTAAAATAAACTTTTACATTGATTCGAAGAAAATGAATAGACTAAAGGATGTCGTAATTCTATTGTTTTTTTTAAAACTATATCTAATAGAATGAATCAAAAACTATCCTCTCCTTTAGAATTTTATGAACCGTACCAGTCAAAGTGTCTCGAGGAAGTTATAGACAAAATAATTTCTAGGAAAAGTTGTTTAATTTTTCAGCCCAAGGAAAAAATTCTTCTCGATTTGACATTCTCAATCGCCAATATCCGTTGGATTCACTCTGAAGCGACTTATTGTTTGCCCTTTCGCTAATAGTACTCATCTTCCAGAAACCTATGGGCATGTATGTGTATCGATATGAATATAGCCTACAATCTTCTTCAATTTTTACATGACGTCTCCTCGTGCGTAATGAGTGTTTGTCATTGATGATAAACTTTTTTTTCGTACTTGAAATTGTTCATACGGCTGACGCATATGTGAATGGCTTTCTCGATCGCAAGACCTATTTTTTATTTGATCAGCTATCTTTGTTTAATACATTTATATATTCAATTCTTTCTCACTCAGCATGAAACGATTGTTCACTGTTGCATTGCGTGTTACAATACAGTGGCACCTGGGATCATGTCTAGTTTTTTCAGTGTCGATTTGAACGTTGTAAACGATTGATAGTAAACGAGTAGAGAAAAAAACAATTACATTAGTAGAAGCTTTGCGCCCTATTTTATAATATATTTCTCTGTAGATTGATTCAATCCATTCATATACGTTAATGAACATAAATACTTGTAATTTCTTAGTTGCGGCCAACATAAGTTCGGTGTAACGAAATCATGAATATATACAAAGTAATCAAAATTATGGCTCGGATAAATACCCGAGATTTAGATTCAAGTAGGAACAAAATAGGATATCTTATGTTGTAAACAACCGGTTTACTCATTTCTCGCAACATATTACAAAAGAGCACTTAAATCTATGATTTGCTAAATAAACAATTATGTTATATAGGAAAAAATGACGTAGTTCAATCATACATCGAACCATATGTTGCACTTCTTATATTGTTGAAGGCTATTGATAATCGAATCAGGGCAATTCTTTGTTTCAAAACAACTGTTCCCTTGCCATTGCGTAAAATGAATGTTTATTTCTTTTTCAAAGCAATTGAACAAACCATAATTGTCTCGTTTTTCATTCATTCGTTTCTTTAATCAGTCTTTAAATGAATGGGGAGGAGAGAGAGAGAGAGAAAGGGGCCCATCTGTAGTTTTTTTTCTCTCTCTCTCTCTCCATTTTCTTGTCAGTGATGGTTATCATCATGGTTAAAACAAGCTGTTGCGTTTCACACATACAACTTATTTCTTTTGTAATTTATTACGTATATCGAACGCACGAGAACATATAGAAGCAGTTTTTAAAAAGACGCGATTTCGAGTTTCTATTCGATTAGTTAGACAACTATTGATGCATTGAACATACATCAACAAAATATATGTTCGCCTTGCTTTTATTTTTTTTAGAATACAATGACTGTATGTCGAGTGATTTTATTTGGTTTAAAACCATGTGACATAAGCAGCTGTACCAATAATAAAATATCTGAAGCGTCACTTTCACGACAGCATTCCGTAATTCCAGCTACAACATCAACTAAATTTCAGCTAGCGAATACAAAAGAAAATGCAGCAGTGTTAGATACTGACTATCTCAATTTAGTTATCAAACCTTTAGTAACAACAAATAATTCAGTAAGAACAAACAGAAATCTTGATCGTTTTTTCATGTTGATTCGCTCATTTTAGCATTCTTCAACAAGTAACAATGCTGGTCATGAAGCAAGTCCAATTCGTTTAAAAATTCATGAAACTCCACAAGGCCGTCATCATATTTGTGTCTCACAAACGTTGTTACGTACACATACTGGTGATGCATAGTCGTTCTTTTTCTTTTTTGTAGTTTTATTTCAAATGCAAAAAAAAATATCTTGTCTTCGACATCATACTTTCATGAGTCAAAACTATCATCAGATGTTTGCATTTTTTATTACAGCTCTATTTAACAGTACTCGAGGCTACTTTGACTTTTATAAATGCGGCGAATTATTTTATATTGATTATTGCTACTTTAACTAAATCTTTTACACGCTTTCTGCAATGTCGAGATATGCAAATATCGAGGAGAAACATTTCTATATCTATCATTGTCGTTGATGTGCGGACCATTTAAACGAGACGAATAAGTAGTACCAAGTTTTTTTTGCGCAGTATTTCGTAGGCTAATCTTATCACAAGGCGATGCGAAATCGTATTACTTCGATGGAATTGATTTATATGCATATTCTAAGTTCAATTATCCTTGGTACTCATTATAGTTCACACATGTATATGTATATACTGTAAAATCTAACTAGTTAGTCAATTTCCGTTTCGTTCGTTTCCTATAGTTGTATTTAATATTCTTTTCGTCTGCGGTATTAGATCGATCTGATTATAATATTTAATGCGAATCCATGAACCATAGTCGTGCGATCAGATGAAAATCTGCCTGGAAGAAAACTATTTATAAACGGAAAGAAACTAATGGTGAAACTTGTATAATTTCTATTTTTTCCTGTCTTGCTATTGAAAGTGCCATTAATTTCGGCGTTGAAAGTGGATGTCTAATATAAAGTTGTTCAATGTTGATGTTGCTCGTCGAGTACATAAAATGACTAGTTCGAGAGAGAAAATCAGGAATATTTGGCCTAACTTTATTATTTTACATGAAGAGAAAAATGCTGAAAATACACTAGAAAAAAAGAATCTTAATAGATTTATTGAACTGAATAGTTTTTATTAAGATATTCTAAACTGTTTTCAATCTGATAAAATATTACAAGAAAAATAATATGGAAGTAGTTCCTTTTTTCCTTTTCAAATCGGCTATTGATCACGATAATAGACACTTGATTCATACCGAAAAACTTATAGCATTTGAATTTATTATGCCCTTTTCGAAGTCTCAAAATATTTTTGTTTGTGTAAGTTAAAGAAAAAGAGAGAGATAAATTGTTACTCGTCTCCATCTCTTCGTTCAATGATAGTGTGGATAATTGAGGAAAATAATATATTTAAGAAATTTTTCGGTCAATCGTATAATGTGATTTTGGCAAGATGTAAAAGAGAAAAAAAAACTCGGCAAACAGCATAACATTGACAGTTTCTTGGTATAAACAAGCATTTATTCATATCTGCTACATTATATTGATGATTCTAAAAATGATGTTTCGATAAAATAAAAATGTCTCTAGCAGCACTAACACCTGTATTAAATGATTTATTTCATAAAGAGGATGGCAAATCATCGCCTTTTCCAGAACGGCAATCTCAACAACAATTAACTAACTCAAATGACTCGCCGAATGACGATAATTTTCTACCGAGGCCATCCGTTGGTACTAATCAATATTCATCTTCTTCTGCTATTAATGATGTGAGTATTTCAAACGAGAGAGAAAGAAAGAGAGAGAGAGAGAACGAAGTAGTTAATCATTTATCTAAATGCTGCATTCCATATTGATAATCAAACGGCTGCAGCTTGATTGCGGACATTTTTTCCTCCAATTAAGAGAAAACGTCAGCAAAGTAGAAACAGGGGGAGAGAGCAAAAATGTCCACATTGTGGAATCAAGACAAGATTTATTAGGTGAAAAAAAATACAGAAAAATCATTTATGAAGAATAGTGGAAAATCTAACTGTTTTTAGGTTGACAATCAAGATTCATTCAAAAATGATAATTTTTTTAAAAACTATACGATCTTTATTAGATTGCGTGGAAATTGGAGAAAAACTATCATTTTCCCCGATGGACATTCTTATTTGATTCGTCTACGTATAACTTTGTCACTTTAAGTATTTTTCTTTCACAATACATGCTTATAAAATGGCCAGGATGACATGTGACGAACAGCACTAGATTAGCTCGAACCAGTTGATATTATTCAATACAGCTATTTGCCTGAATCATCTTAAAATATCAATTTTTGTTTGATTCCATAATGAGGACATTTTTTGCTATCTGCCCCCCGATTCTGCTTTGCGGACATTTTCTCCCAATAATTCAGAAAAACGTCCACGATCTAGAAGACGCGAATCAAACCTAAACAAATGAAATAGATTGAAAGAAGATATTTTATTGTTTGCTCTTCTTTGTTTTCGGCTATTTTTCCAACGTCTTATTCGTTATATTCACATCACTCTCGCTGATTTGCGATATCGGAAATAAATCAGCAGCAGTTATCGGCCTATATTTTTCTACACTTGAAATATTTCATAACAGCAAAAGCCGAGAACAAAACATGTGCTTTAATATAGAAAAAATACGATACCCTAAATATGAAGCTCATACGAAAGAACAAGATCGTTTCTAGAAGTTTAGATCGACTGCAACGGTTACAAACAGATGGTGATCATCTACTAAAAACTTATTATTTTAGATATTTTCTCATAATTATTCTATTTATAATGTATATTTTATTTTTATTTTCATAGAGTCCTCGTCATCGTCATTCAATCATGCCATTCAAGTTGCACAAATCATTGAAGCGAGAAGATTCTTTTTTAAAAAAGTTTTCTAATCGTTACGGTTATAGTGGATTGGCATCGATGGGTAAATCTATCTTTTACATATATTTAATAGCGTATTTTCATATAAATTATTTGTTTACAAGATTCAGCAAAACGAAATCTTCGATTAAATCTGGACAAAGAAGAACCAATTAAATCGCGCTATGAATTTATCAGTTGGATTCTTCGCAGGTGCAATTATTTTGTTATATCAACAGACGAATCGTTTTTATTTTATTGGTTAATTTTATTGAGCATCTGTGTATTATATAATCTTTGGTTTTCCATTGCACGTCACGCATTTGATCCATTACAACACAACTACGCACACACATGGGAAATTATCGATTGTATAGCTGATTTCATTTATTTTCTTGATATTTTTATTCAATTTCGAACCGGCTATCTTGAACAAGGTATAGTAAAATGAGATGAGACAGTTTCGGCCTTTCAGTAATTTCTATTCCAAGAGAAAAAATCTGACACTGAGCAATCGGAGATTATCGCATTTTTTCTGTTTTCTTGACTCCGAGATCGATTATCTCATGATAGATATTCGTAGTTTTATGTATTTCTGTACGATCGATATCACACAATAAAAGTATTCATTTAATGAAAAGTTAAAAGGCAAAATCATATTTTGTATTCTGAGTTGCGGCTAATTAGAATTGAAAATAATGTTACTTGATTGATTAATATGTCATTACGGATAAATGTTCAAAATTCGCTTGTCCTACTATTCTAGGTTTACTGGTTTATAATCATTATAAACTTGCAATGAATTATATTCGTTCATCTCGATTTATTTTTGATATATTATCCTTGACACCATTAGATTTACTTCAAATAAAGTTTGGTTCAATACCAATTCTACGTTTTCCACGTTTTTTCAAAATTTATCGAACGTTTCAACTCTACTATTTACAAGAATCAAGGACTGTATATCCGAATACATATCGTGTTCTAAATCTTCTTCATATACTTCTTCTATTGGGACATTGGTTAGCATCGTTTTATTTTATGGTGTCGAAAGCCGAAGGTTTTGTTGGCTATTGGTCATATCCAAAACCTGTTGGAAATTTTTCACAATTAGCCAAAATGTATCTTCGTTGTCTGTATTGGTCCACATTAACATTAACAACCATTGGCGATTTACCACCGCCAGAAACAAATTGGCAGTGAGTAGATTTTCTACTTTAACTTCTCGTATTTGACTGAAGGCATAAATAAAGTGGTGGCAAAGAGTTTAAGAACAACGTATCTTTGATTTTTTTTCTATAACGCGAAGCACCTAGCTCAAATTCAAATAGTAATTTGATTATCTAATGAGGTGCTCTATCAAATGCATCATATACCAAGAGTTCATAGATGAACTATGATGACCAGGTTTCTAAAAAACCGGACATGACAATTTTCAAGTCTCAGAAAACTTTGTTGGACGTATTTTTTAACAGTGCCATCTTAAAGAGCACAGAATACTGATCAAAATGAAAGGTCGCCACGTTTTCTGCGACCTTCCCTTGAAAAGTTACAAGCATCGTAAAAGAGAGAAAAAAAAGTAAAATTTATCAGAAAACCACGAAAAATAGCCGAAAAACCGTATTTTATCGGTTTTCGTGATACTTGTAACTTTTGATAAGAAGGTCGTAGAAAACGTGGCGACCCTTCATTTTGATCAGTATTCTGTGCTCTTTAAGATGGCACTGTTAAAAATACGCCCAACAAAGTTTTCTGAGACTTGAAAATTGTCATGTCCGGTTTTTTAGAAACTTGGTCATCATAGTTCATCTATGAAATCTTGGTATATGATGCATTTGATAGAGCACCTCATTAGCTAACCAAATTACTATTTGAATTTGAGCTTGGTGCTTCGTGTTATAGAAAAAAAGCAAAGATACGTTGTTCTTAAACGTTTTGCCACCACTTTAGAGTTTAAGTTAATTTGTTTTTCTTGGAAATTTCGTTTTTGTTTTCTTCTTCGGTTTCTTTCTTTTTCTATTCTTGCAAGCTAGATGGCTCAAAAATTTCACGAATAAACGGTAAATATAAAAGCTTATTTTAGTCTAATTATTGTTTGGTGTTATTTTGTTTAATATAAATATTCGAATAATTTTATTTTTGATTTTTTTAGTTATATGTTTTTGATAAGTGTTCATTTGTTCGCCGTTTTTGTCATAGCTATTATCGTGGGTAAGCAAGAAAAACGAAAAAGAGAAACAGTCTTTTCAAAAGATCTTTTCAGCCATCCAATATAAGCGAATGTTTGAAGGAGAAATTATTCGGATACATACCATATTGTTCATTTATTTTTGAGGACTGCTTTTGCTATCGCCAGTTATACGATCGGAATATTTGTTTATTCATTGATTATAGGTAATGTTTTCAATAGATTCATTTGGTTATTTATTTCTATTCTAATTAGGACAAGTTGGCAATGTTATTACGAATCGCAATGCTAGCCGTCTAGAATTTGAACGTCTATTGGTTAGAATTCATTGGATAAAGAATTTCTAAAATAATATTCTCCTATATTAGGATAGTGCAAAACAATATATGCGATCGCATAATGTACCAGCTGAAATGCAACGACGTGTTCAACGTTGGTATGATTATTCTTGGTCACGTGGCCAAATGTCTGGTGCTGGCGATGTTCATTCAATAAAACTTTTACCAGATAAACTTAAAACGGAACTAGCTCTTCATGTTAATTTGGGAACATTGAAGAAGGTATCATATCCATTTAGACAAGTGTAGATATACACATTTAGAATATCAATCATGCGTTTCTTTGAAAAACAACATTATGAGTTCGAATAGCTACTGGTGCGGGAAGAAAGATTAAAGAATAGTTGCAATTGATGCCAAGTGAACAATTCATTTTTCATTCGTTCTTCATCAGCTTTATGAGCTATCGCTACAAAAAGGAAACATACAGATTTCGATGATAAATTAATAGTAGGCTTACTTCTATTAGCGCAGAATATGTATGAATAATTCTAATCAAATTCTAATTTCATTAAATGATTGATAAAAATATTGAAATACTACTATTGATTTAATATTCTTAACAGGTGACTATATTTCAAGAGTGCCAACCGGAATTTCTACATGATCTTGTTTTAAAAATGCGTGCATACATATTTACACCTGGCGATATCATATGCCGTAAAGGTGAAATCGCGCGGGAAATGTTTATTATAGCTGATGGTGTTCTCGAAGTCGTCAAGTAAGCCTTTTTTTGGCTGTTGAATATAGTTATCAATCAAATCATAATTGTATTTAGTGACAACAGCGATGTTTTAACACGACTAGTTGCCGGTGACTTTTTTGGCGAAATCGGAATTTTAAATATTGATGGTGCCAATCGACGCACAGCTGATGTACGAAGTGTCGGCTATTCTGAATTATTCTCATTGTCAAAAGAAGATGTTTTGGAAGGTTGCCGAGACTATCCTGAAGCTGAAACTAAATTGTATGAATATGCACATAATCGTCTTGATTTTGGTCGAGCTAAAAATGAAGCAGGAGGCAAAATAAAGGGCGCATTCAATGCCTTAACATCCATTGCATCTTGTTTAACACATAATCCAGCGGCAATCGCGTCAACATCACCAGATCTTTCATTTGTACCAACAAAAACTGATAAAGATTTAGTTAATGATAATTCAGATAATGACGGTGAAGTTGAAAAAAGACCATCGGACTGTAGTGGCGAAGGAATATCATCAATAGATACTGCGAGGTAAAAATTAATTAGTTTGAAATGTAAATTAAATTAAAATATAGATTAAAGCCAAAAATTTTGAAGTCGAATTTACAAAATTGTGGCTGGAAAGATCAACGTATACTTGAATTTTATCAAAATTCATCATCAAAACAAATCTCTTTATTTCGATCGTCCGACTGTATTCATTCGAATGATTTGATAAGTGAGATCGATTTGTTGATTAGCGATAAAATGGTTTGAAGATAGTTATGATTTTTTTTTCTTGTCTCATATTCTTTTTTTTTAAATATGTTCTTAGTGTTCAGTTGAACAATCCTATCGACAAGAAATTGCAGAATTACAAGAACAAAATGAAAGTAAAGATTTACGAATAAAATTATTAGAACAGAAATTACAAAAATTACAGGTGAATATTTTCGTTATAAATATCGAAATAACTTATATTTTGACATTTAGCAAACACTTTTCAATCGAAATAGAGGATGGCTTGAAAATCAATGAAAAATGTCATATTTATAAATACATAAACAAATCATCGCAACTCGGAGACTTTTATCTTACTGTTACATTTCTTCAATATGTTTGCATATACTAATCAATTAATACGTAGCTACGAAAATTCTTCATTCTATTAATCCAATGTCAAAATATTTTCAGATACATTACTTTTTTTTCCCATTCATGACACTAACCAATTGATGTATATAATATATTTTATTTCGTGCATTGTACATTTCTACAATAATATTATTCTCCCGATGTGAAAAAATACGAAAATTTCGAAACAATGAATGGACTTTACTATTTCAATAGAGAATTCTAGTTCATAATACGGCTTCTCGTAGGAGAATATTGTGAGGCTTACAAAAATCTGATTGGGAGAATCTACGGTCCATACAATTGAACTAATTTTGTGTCTAGACAAGTTACGGTTTTTAACTATTTTGTACTTGTTAAGATGATGCAAATACAAGAATAGAATTCATTCTATGTGCATCCTCAAATAAATCTATATAAGCCAATATAATGAACTTCGACAATTGCGATAGAACTATTTGGTATAAATATCGAAGTGAATATCTGTTCACTATAGAAATTGTTTAATTTTAAGCATAAAAGGATCGGTGGAAGTTCAGGATGTACAGTAAAACGATGTGTTCACATTATGGAAGCATTGACAATCAAAAATGTTTTCCTATTGATTAAACAATTATACAATGAACAGTAATAATGTATCGTCACTAAGGTCAAAAAAGAGAAAGAAGTATTTTGAGTAAAAAAAATACTGCGAGTGAATCCAAGCTAGTGAAATATTACTTACAGTATTACAATGACGAAAAGATACCAGATGAAAATTTGAGTTACTTCTCTTCTCAAATATTTACTATTCAGAGATTGGATTTTTGCTTAATACTGCTAGAGACCATAGGAAATCTTTTGAAATTCTGAAAAGAATATATAGCTTGTAGGCATAGACGAGCGACCTCTATTAATCATTGAATTGATCTATTAAGTAAATATGATTATTTAAAGTTCTAGTGCATTTATAGTTATAAATACCGTGTTTTAAAGTATTTTTTATTTTAATAAAAAAAGTCTTGTTTCGACCCAATCATATTAGACATCTTTGTTTGGTCATGTTCTCTATCTGTCTGTGCGTGTTAGGTTAACGAATGGATAAACATGTTGTTGCTTTGTCTCTGCCATTCTTTCTTTCTTTCTCTTACGATTGTTTACTTACCAGTGCAGGCTTTTAGAACCAAATCAGAAGGCGAAGAATGAAAAAAGAAAAAGAGACATAAGTCAGCCAGAAAGAAAGAAAATGATAAGTAGGCGTTGATGTCGTTCGCATCATCATTTGACGTTACTCTTCGCGTTCCAATCAGAAACTTAAACTACTTATTTTCCATAATATTATATTTACACCAACTACTCTAACGTTTTTTTTTAGAATCAATCATGATCGATTGTTAATTACAACCCCCAAAAAAGAAAAAAAAAGTCATAACATGTTTAGTACATTTGCTGACGTATTTGGTTCGGATGATAATGAAGCCAAAAAATTAAATAGTACAAAAGATCCATTTGATTCATCATTATCTGCACCAGTCGATCCATTCGGTATATCAAGTGATATGAAATTATCTGCATCGTCGCAAAGATTTGATGATAGTCCATTCGTCATTGAAACAGTAAATGAGCAGTCTGATCGATCTCATAATGGAAAAGAAGCATTATCATCATTGAACTGGAATGCATGTCAAAATTCATCAAATGAGCCAATTTTAGATTCAGCAACAACATTTGATCCACTAGAAGATATACCAAATAAAACAACAGGTTTATCAGTCAATAATAATAATATAACACATTCCAAAAGCATTAATCTCATGAATCCATTTTCAATTCCAACAATGTCAAATGAAGACTCGAGAGTAACTGTTCAAGCTTCACCAATCGATCTTTTATTTGATCTTAACATTGATCCAAGTTCATTTCCAGTGATGAATTCCGATAAGTCTTTACAAAATTCAGATCAAGTACAATCGTCATATGATCTTCTTGGTCTTAATAAAAACACCAATTCATCATCGCCGTCATCATCATTTAAAGTTACGAAAAGTGACAGTTTAACTAATCTACCAAAAGTGAGTCAAACAAAAAAGTCATCTTCATCATCACTCGCAACTAAATCAAATATGTCAACAGCATCATCGTATCATACGTTACCAATGAATGTTCCACCTGCATCAGCGAGTACACTACGAGTTCAAGCAACAGCATTGACAATAATGACAGGCACAACATCGCCATCAACAACTCCATATGATGATCAATTTCTTGATTGGTTAACACAATCTGATGATTTAATGTGTAGTGTTGATCCAAAATTGAGTGGACAATCGAAAAAAATGGATATTAACATGTTAAAAAGTACTGAAGATCTTCTTGGAAGTATTCATAGACAACCACAACAAACATTAACAACTGTTCAAGAAGCATCGCAAGAATCAGTTGGATCTCCACCTGCAGTAGCTATGCATAAACCGCCACCTATTCGTCGTCCATCAATTGAAGAAGTACCATCAATATGTATTTATGAACCTACAAGTGATCATAATGATAGCAATATTGTTCCACAAGGATATTTCGATATTAGAAAAGAAAAAGCAAAGAAGAAGAATAATAATGATTCAGATGATTCCGATGATTCAAAGATGGTTTTTAAAATTGAAGAAAAAAAAAGTAGTGCATCTCTCTATGATGCAAATATTCCTGTACCATTATTACCACCGCCACCGTCGTCATTAACCAAAAAATACCAAGAGGCTAGTGATGATGCTAGTGCATCGTCAGAATCAGACAATGAAGATGAACATGATCCGTCAGTTGTATATCCGTTAAAATCTGCGAAAAAGAAAATCAATGACAAACCAAATATAAATCTTTTTGCTGATTGGGAAGAAGAGGAAGATAAGAATGTTTCTCAGGAAGAAGATTTGAAAATAAAACAAATAGAAAATAGGGTATGCTTTCATGTTTCTATGTGTATATTCATTGTTGTCTTGTCTGTATTACAATTATAGTTCAGGTTGGTGTTATTGTAAAAATAAAACGTGCTTTTTTTAAACATTTGATCTATTTCATTTTTAGCACGAAAATGCTCAATCAGCACCATTAGATTATTATTTACATGAACCAGATTTGGATGATAGTGCACCATTAGAACCGTATCATAGTGATATAAACGAATTACAATCGCAACAACTTAATGGATGGCCATTACAAATTCGTGTGCCATTAAGACAAAAAGATTTATATAAAAGTACTTTTCAAAGATTTAGTGAAACACGTAAGATATATCAGTTAAAGTTTTCTATTGAATAAATAATTTCCTTTCTTCTTTAAGGTAATTGGCAAGAATGTTTCGTTAAAATATCATTCGATGAGAAAAAATTACGTTTTTATTCACTTCAAAGTAGCGAATATCCATTTGCTGAAATTGAATTACAAACATGGTATCAATGTACGAAATTCAATCTTCAACAATATGATCATTATACAAAAATTCATACATTAAAAATTTTTGAAGCTAACTATAAAGAAATTCCTCAAGTTCGTATGGATCGTCTCGCAACTTTACCGGAGAAATTATTAAGAAAATTTACGCGACCGAATAAAGCACAGCAAGTTTTACTTGATCATGCAAATTGTGTTCAGCAAGAAATTGTTAAATTTGGTCAATTAAATTATACGTCCTTGAAAAACTTCTCAATTCTATTAGATGATCTATTTTGGTCAATGCCTGTTACGCGCAGTCGTTTACAAAAACATTTAAAAGAAGAAATAACTGTTAAAATCGTAGATGAATATTATGCACACATTGATAAATATCGTCATATATGTAAACATAAATCTCGTACACGTGTATTTATTTTAGCTTTTCTAAATGGTTACACACCAACAATTGAAATAGGTATGAACGATTGGTTTCGTCATGGTAAAGAAGTTAATAAACGTAATGAAATTATTATTAATAAAACATTACAAGAATATTGGATTAAGCCAGAACAAGTTGAATTAGCATCAATTATCGATGAAAAAGAATACGAAAATAGTCATTTACTTAAATTAGTACCGCCAGATAGTCAAAAAATTGAAATTATGCGTTTTCGTACTAGACCTAAACAAAATATTGAACTTCCATTGCAAGTAAGAGAACATAACTTACGATTAGAATAAATAAATACTTCATTGAATTTACAATAGGTTTATTGTTTTATGTCAGTTATTGAACGTCAAGTTAATATTCGAATTGAAATAATCGTATCGAATGCATTTAATATAAGTCTACTATCAAAGGCTTCATCAATGGCAACAAACGACAAAACAGCTAATATACGTGATGATAATAGTGACGAACAATGTCCATGTGAAAACATTCAAATTCGTTTTCCAATACCTGATCCATGGGTTTATATGTTTCGAGTTGAGAAACGTTTTCGCTATGGAGCTATACATAGTGTTCGTCGAAAAGCAGGAAAAATAAAGGTAATGAATTTATATCTATATATATATATATTAAATTGCTTAACGCGTAAAAGGAAGTTTAATTTATTTACATAGATAAGAGAAAAGAAGAATCGTGTTGAACTGATTCTCTAAGGAACAGAAGATTTGCTCATTGAAGTAGCTAAGAAATATGAACAATAAGAGCTAATAAATATGCAGACATTATCGAAAGAAAATGAATCAAACATGCGTGTTTTTCTTTTGATCGAGACGATGTTTGGCAAGATGAAAGAGCTAGAGGAAAACAGATAGGAATGATAAGTTTCCCAGAAACTACCAATAGTACAACACTTGTATCTTCTGAAGAAATGTAATGCTATTGCTTTCTTCTTCTAGCATGACTTTGAGACGTACTTTTAAAAACGGAAAGCTTGAATATGCCATGGTATATGAGTAGAGAGGCAGACGGATGAACTTATTAACCTCCATTTCCTGGTAAACTGACATAAAGTAGAACATCTGCATATTGTCTAGTTATGTCCAAGGTGACAAAATTTAAAATATAATAACCGATTGAGACATAAAAATTTGATGGATTAGTTTTTTCTTTCTAAATCAAGAAAGATAATATCTGTATCAGCATGAAGACAATCATAATTCTCCGTTGAAACTATTTCAAAAAATTAGATAAGATAAATTGGTTACGCTAGTGAATAAAAACAAACAAATGAAATTCACAGTTTCATATCCTTTGTTATTGTCTTAAGCTCTTAGTAAATTATACTCTTAATATAGTTATAATTTTTTTCAGCAAACTATTCGAGATGACTTCTTCTATAAAAGTTAATCACATTTCTGATTCTTGGATTAAATCGGAAATCGAATTTCCGTATTTGATTGTAATTTTAAAAACTAAATATAATCTTAATAGGGTCTCGATCGTTTCATGCTTCATCGTGGTGATCCATTGGCGGCATTGATGGCAGCATCGGTCGGTGTAGCAAAATATGAACAAGCATTTCATTCAATTGTTTGGCGTATTGATCAATTACCGAAACGTGATCAAGGTGCTTATAAAACACATATATTTGAATGCAAATTGACAGTACCATCGTATGATCCTATGCCAGAGAAATTTGAACCGACAGCAGATGTTGAATATGCAATGTCGCAAGTTTTTATTTCACATTGTCAAGTACAGAGATTTTTAATTTTGTTGCATTTTTCTTTATTTAATACTTTTTGTTAGATTCGTTCTGTTGCCGTACCAGAAGCTGAAGAAACGCCAGAAAAATGGATACGTCCGAAAAGTTGTTTTAATTATACACTTGATATTGAATATGCATTTAAAGAAGAAGAAAAAAAAGAATTTGCGCCAGTTGAAATCGATATGAAAGAACAATCAATGTCTCAAAGTGAGACAGAAAATAATTCACATTCCGATGAAAGTGATTAAAATACGTATTGCCTTCTAATAAAAAACATGCAAAGAATAATAAACAAACAATTTATGTATCGTCTCTAAAACCTTCTAACAATTGTCTTGCCATTCGCGAATTATAGAAAAACAAATTAGGACTCTATGCAAGATATCACTTTTTTCTCCTTTCGTTAGACATTCTCTGTGTTTTTGTGTATACCCAGTTTTACCTTCTGTTTAATTTTCGTGTGATATTTTTCTCGTTTTATTTATACCCGCTTATTGTATTTGCATTTTTTAGAGTACCTCAGTCATTTCTACTTTTTACCACTGTTTTGTGCGCGTTTAGTAAATCAAAAAAAAAGAAGAAGAAAAAAACTCATCCCTACCTTTTAATATAATTTCAGATATAAAAGCAAAATGACAGTCAATGGAAATACACGTTCAATGAGACAACATATTCAACGTTCACTAGGTGATGATTTTGTTGAACCACCAGCATCAGTCCTGTCAGCGATGCCAAACGATGATAATGAAGATGATGAAGGTGAAGAATTTCAACCGAAAGCTGCATCACGAGGAGGACGTGGAACAGCAACACCAGGTCGTGGACGCGGACGACCATCAAGAACAGGACGGAAAACGAGCGGAACGGTTAATCAAACAGATGAAGATGAGATGGAAACTAGTTCAGTCACAATGTCCATAGGAAATAATACAACATACGTTGGCGCTGCACAATCAGAAGAAAAAGGATATTTTCATCATTTATTAGCTGGCAAAACCAATATACAAGTATTAGTTGATCAATGGATCGATTCATATCAAGCCAATCGTGATGAAGCATTAATTGAGCTGATGCAATTCTTTTTGGATAGTAGTGGTTGTAAAGGAAAATTAACACAAACAATGTATTTAAAGATGGAACATGTTGATATGTTACGAGCTATGACTGAACATTTTGATGAGGTATACTATTCCTCTTCATTTTTCTGTTCTAAACATACCAAACAAAGAATCAATCTGTTTTTTAGGATACATCAGAATATCCAATTATCATGTCTGGTTTACAATATAAAAAATTTCGTTCATCCTTCAGTGAATTTGTTGTATTATTAATTAAACAAGCATCCTATTCAATTATCTATGATCAATATATGATTGATAATCTTGTAACATTATTAACTGCTTTGTCTGATTCACCTGTCCGCGCTTTTCGTCATACCGGTACATTAGCTGGTAAGAAGAATTTTTCTTTTTTTAGCTTCGAGCAAAAAACAAAATTCTTTTTGTTTTTATAGTTTTAAAAGTAATGACAGCTTTGGTTGATATTGCATTAACAATAAGTATACAGAAAGATCAATGCCAACGACAATATGAAGCTGAAAGACAAAAATCAAGTGCTCGACGTGCTGCTGATCGACTTGATACATTAACAACTAAACGAAAAGAGGTTTAATATAGCTATGAGGCAAATTTTTATAGATTAGGAATTTTTTCTTTTTCTTTTAGCTTGAAGGAAATGAGAATGAAATTAAAAGCTTTATGAATTTTATTTTCAAAGGTGTTTTTATTCATCGCTATCGGTATGAATTCAATTGGACTAAGAATTTGTTTTTTCTGTAAATAGTTCTTTTGCTTGAATAATATTCTAGAGATATTGTACCAGATATTCGATGTTTATGTATGAGTGAACTCGGTGAATGGATGAAAAGTTATCCGATGGTTTTTCTTGATGATATTTATCTTAAATATATTGGTTGGACTTTATATGATAAGGTAAATCATAAAATTTCATACCACTTTTTAGCATTGAACGTTCGATTTAATTTAGGTTGGTGATTGTCGTTTACGTTGTTTACTTGCATTAATTCCATTATTTCAAACAACGGATCTTGTTGGTAAACTTGAATTATTTACTAATCGATTCAAAGTAAAAGCTTTCATAGCAAAATATAGAAAAATCAGTTTTTTCTCTCGTTTGTTTTCAATAGGATCGTATTGTACAAATGACAGTTGATTGCGAATATGAAGTAGCCGTACAAGCCATAAAACTTTTAACTGCTATATTAAAGTAAATAGATGCGAAAACATCAAGGGAACATTTATGGTATTTATTGTTTCTGATTAGATTCAATGAACGTATCCTTGAAGATAAAGATTGCGAAAATATTTACGAACTTGTTTATCATTCACATCGCCAAGTTGCACAAGCTGCTGGTGAATTTCTTAATCAAAAATTATTTCATAAAGCTGAACAACCATCGAATTCATCCAAAAAACGTAGTCAAAATACGGCTTTTATACATTTACTTGTGCAATTTTTTATTGAAAGCGAGGTAAGATATTTCAATTCGGTTGATGAGAAATTACACAATCGAGTATTCCCAATAGTACATGTGCTGTTTCAATTGAGTACACACACATACTGAGACTAATTTCTAGAGAAAAAAAAAGACAATCTAGTATGAGACAATTCAATTAGTTTAGATGAGTACTACAAAAACAGAATAATCCTCTCTATGGAATGCCACCTAATATGTCAATTTTTTTATTATTATACTTATAAGCGCTTGGCGAATTTTACCGTTAAGTTCAATATCTAATAATCTTATACGTAACTACAACGAGAGACTTCAGAAAATACTATACCTTAAAATTGTCAGGCAAATATTTACACTTTTTCAGATCTCTAAACAAATACGTGAGCAATAAGTACTAAATAAACGTCGCCCTTTTCCCCCAGAGAACAATCAATGGCTAGAAGTTTCGCTTGTTTCTTCAAACATTAATTGTTACATATTATAGCAGAAAAGAAATAGCAGCCTTCGTTCGAAATCTAAAAAAAACCGTGAATTAGCAACTTCCTGTTTTTCATTGAAAGTTATAATTAAGCAAAAGAACTAAAACTATTTTTCGAGAAAAAAGATTATTTGACTTTTGCTTTTAGCTTCACGAACATGCTACGTACTTAGTTGATTCTATGTGGGACCAACATCCAATGATGAAAGATTGGGAATGTATGACTGATATATTGCTCGAGGCGCCAGATCAAGAAGAAGATCGTAAGTTTTTTTTTATTGTATAGAGAAAAACAAACAAAGATAATTAAATTCATGTTTAGCACTTGATGATCAACATGAAAATTGTTTGATTGAAATTATGGTTTGTTGTGTACGCGAAGCAGCTACTGGAGAATATCCAATAGGTCGTGGTCAACCAAATCGAAAAGTAAGTTTTTAAAAATCAATGTCTAGATTAATTTGATCTTCTTTTTCTTCCTAGTTAACAATGAAAGAACAAAAACAAAAAGAAGATGATAAAAAAGTGCTAACTGACCATTTTATTGGTACTTTACCACCATTACTTAATAAAGTAAAATGTTCTTTGTTCCCCGTTCGTCCATTTTCTTATTGTTTGAAATTTTTAGTATATTGCTGATGCTGATAAATTACTTAATTTATTACAAATTCCACTTCATTTTAATTATGAAGTTTACACAACAACACGACGTGAACGTGATCTTGATGCATATTTAAATGCATTGAGTGATATCGTACAACGACATACAACAGCTGAAGTTTGTTCAAATAGATTCTTTGAATTACATAGCTTTTTACTATTTCAATTATTTAATTAGATTTTTGATGCTGTTTCAAAATGTTTCGAATGTGTTTGCGATGTTAGTTTTACATTATCAAATCGAGCTATTGCGCATCGTGGAAATATTATTGATAAAATTTTGGCAAATTTCAATGCTGCAATGGGCATTTTCGAAGAAATGGTATGGGAATCGAATGTTTTTGTTGGAAATTATTAAATTTTCTTTTGATTAGGATGAAGCGGATGAAGATGATTTATATCCATTGTTACTCAATTTAAGAAAATTAGACGCATTTCACCAGTAAGAATATTTATCTAATTCAATCATACACTATTATCTTTGTTTTTCAGATGTCATGATTTGGGTAATACAGATTTATGGGATAAAATACATTTATTATTCAAAGCTGCCATTGACAATGAAGATATGTCACCAGAGGTTCATAATAATTGAAACAATTCTTGTTTTCCGAATAATTAATTTTTGTATTTACAGATTGTTGATAAGTGTTTTGGTATTGCTAATCGTAGTTTACTCTGGGGATTATATCAATTGGATATGCAATTCGATAAGGTAATATTAGTTTTATTTCACTCTTTCACTGCTGCTAAGAATTAGATACGAATGATTTCATGTATAAGAAACAACCAATCGATAGTTATACTGGTTTCTGCAAAAGTAAAAATCATTTTTCAGCTACCTAAAGAAGACCGAACAAAAGTTTTCGTAAGAATTATAAATCATCATTTTGGACAACAACGAAAAATATAAACAACAATATTTTTCAGCTCTTTTTGTATAGAAATTGAAATAATGCAATAGCAAATTTCCTTTATAATTATTGTTTGGTAGCTCACACACTCTTGTAAAATAAGTATATTGCTAAAAACGATTTTCTGCTGAGAAATAGTTAGAACAAGCATCTGGTTTTTATTTTATTCAATTGGATTTTTCAAAAAGAAAAAAGAAAATGAATTCTTTTGTATTCTTTAGGATTTATTGAAAAAACTTGTTAAACGAAGTCGTAAATTATGTGCATTGTGTCAAAAGTTAATGTTACATGCTAATACTCAAATATGTCATTATGCATATTCAACATTATGTGACTTATTAATAAGCATGAGTCCTCATTTGGTTGATAAAAATCCCGATTATCAAGTACTTGCTATTGAAATCAATGAAAATCTTATTCAAGCATTGTTGACATTCTTAAATACATACGTTTTCTTTGCTGAAGAACCGAAAAGTAAGACGAAAAATAGATTTTATTGCAGAAGTTACAATTCTCATTTCTGTCTTTTAGATCAAGATGAGCAAGCTAAAATTGAAATACTTCATAAAAAACGTAATTTATTAGCTGCTTATTGCAAATTAATTGTTCATAATGTATTACCAATTCAAGCTGCCACTAACATTCTTAAATATTATGTTAAAGTAAATTTTAATTTTTTACCAACAAAAAATTTCTATGATATTCTCGTCGGTTTTTTGTAGTTTAGCAATGATTTTGGTGATATTATTAAAAATACGTTTACACGTGCTCGAGATATTTCTAAAATTCATACAGCGAAAACAATGGCTTATAGTCTTATGGCTGTACGTAGAATAGTGTTATTAGTATCATTCATGAGCACATGAGTTTGCTTTTATAGGTCTATAAGGATTGTGTTGCAGCTCGTGATGCTGCACAAGAAACGGCTGGCAATGATGAAACAATTAATATTGATTTATCACCATTACGAGTAAGAACGATCCATTGAGAAGTTTTATTTGAAATATTTGTTTCGAATTACCATTAGGAACTAGCTCGTCGATTTAATCTTTCATTTGGTCTTGATATGGCTAAACAACGAGAAGCACTTGCTGCACTTCATCGGTATGGTCTTATTCATTTTTTTTTAATATTTTCTATTTAATTTGAATTTAATTTATCTAGTGAATGTATTCGTTTTGCATTAACGCCATTATTCCGGCACGATGATCCATCACAACCTGGTCCAAATCTTCTATTTCTTGAAGTTTTACCAGAATTTGCTTCGAAACTTCTTAAACCAGATAAAAAAGCTATGTAAGTCTCGCGCTACGAAATGAATCGTTTCTTTTTTGATATTTCTATTACTGTTTGTGTTTAGTTATGATCATGTTGATAAACTTGTTCATAATGCAACAATTGAAGGTGATACTTGGCAACCATTGATCAATTATCGTCGTATTCTTAATGATGAGCCAGGTGGCGGACATGGTCCTAAAACACGTGCTTCAACAGCTACACGCGGTCGTAAACGCGCAGCACCTCAAGATGGTAAAAAGAAATGTTTTTTTTTCAAATTGTTTTTGAACTCTAATTTTTTTTTAGATGATAATTCCCGATTATAAATCAATATTGGCCTTATTCAATTTGTACAGCGTATAAATATAGATGTGTATTTGTTGTGTCTTTGTTGTTATTATCATTGTGTTGATTAGTCAAACTTTGTTTGTTCGCTGTCGCTTGTAGTCTAACGAGACTTCTGTTAAATAAAATAAAAAGTCAAGGAACTCTAAAATAAAACTTTTGTAAATAATTAAAATTAATCTTCCGCCAATTGTTCCTATGTTTAATCCAGATGATTGAAGTTTAAAACGCAACCGATGAATGACTCTAGACTATGATTAAAAAAATGGATCTGAAATAATTGTTCGCATCATTTGACTTTAACCTTTGTAAGCGAATTATATTTAGGTTTTCTTTTTTGTCTATGATTATAAAATTCTATTCATAGGCGGAAAATAATCTAATCATTGGCTCCTATCATGCCAGTCTATTGTTGAATGCTCGGCCTTGATGCTTCTTTTTTTTCCTTTTCGCTAAGTAACTATATCTCTCTCTCTCTCTCTCTCTCTCTCTCTTTTATCAGCATATATGACATAAGTTCTTATTGTTGATAGGAGAGGAATCCGATGGAATTCTGCATAGCTTTTATTATGACAAACTTCACATACAATAATGTAAAAGAGAGAGTCCAAAAAAAATCATCAGAATCGCTTTTAGGGAGTAAAATGAGAGTAAGTAGCTCTAATAAATATAGCACAAAGAAAAAAACGGAAGTAGAGACAACATCATTTGAAAACACGATGTAGGAACGTGACAATTGAAGGACGAACTGACAAAGTTGTCAGATGAAAAACAAAAATGCTATCGGGAAACGAAAAGATATGTTATCTAATTAAGGCAACAGTTCTGATAATATCATGAACGTGGAAGAAGGAAAAATTGATTCATTATTCCTACAAATGTAGCGTATATCTTCTTCTTTAAACAGTCATTATTATTTTTGATGAATTACCGCCTTGGAAATATCGTAATTCTTAAAATAAATAAGTTCTTTCAAGAAAGAAAAACAAATATTTACTTTCTCGACTGTGCTTGAGTTCTTTTGCTAGAGCTATTACTTGTTTTAACGAAATTTGCATTGATAAATACTTAAACAAACTGGGGCGTTCAAACTTAAATTGATTTTGTTTTAACATTATAGGCCACCGATCGCATGATTTTTTTTTTATTAAAGAATTTGTTACAATCACGTGACAAGATGAAAAACCAAAATTTATATCTGAAGCTCGAAGCTTAACGTGACAAGATTAATTCACATTGAATGCATCTTATTCCGTTTTCTTAGCTCGAATTATCGCTAGTGAATTTACTAGTATGAATTTGAATAATGAAATTAGAAACAAAAAAAAATACGATTATTATATTTTTTTGTGTATCTATTCTAATCAAAACCGCGAGTCTTTGACGACTTATCCGTTCTGCATCTTTAAAGCTGATAGATTCGATCGATAAAATGATTAGTTAATCTGTTGACAAGCACATTTAGGATACACGTGAAACTAGTTGAAATATGTTGTTGAACATGGCAACATCAAACTGACTCAGTAGTGCATAACAATGATCGATCTAAACGTATGCCTTTAGAATAGACTACGATAGAACGATTTCATGGAACTTTTCTACTTCTCTTGATGATCGAATTGGAAAAATACCACTACTGATTGCATGCAGGAATGATGGCTTTTAAATCATGTGGTAGTTATTGTTGTGACGGAAATATGAAAGAGCAGTGTAGAAAAAGAAACCGGATATATTTTCTTACTGACTTGACCGTGAACAAGTATTGTTAATAAAGTTTCGAAAAAAAAATAATATCCAAAGTGCATATCATGAATATTTAAAGCAAGAGAACTGTAAGAAGCTATGAAATATGCGCTTTTTTTTCGAGCGCACTGCTCTGATCAAATAGATTCGAAAATTTTATCGGTTGGACGATGCCTTTGACATTCGACATCATTCAAACATAGTGCTTTTACAAATATATTTAAAAATTGTAGAGTGCCTAGCTTAAATATTAGTTTATGCTGCTTTTTTTGAGAGTATAAATTGTAGGCCTAGACACCAATCTTCTCTTCATTCACATACACTCCTTTATTGACTAGTTTAGCTTGAACAGATTCAAATTCTTGGTGCAATATTTACAATATATAAAATAATTGATTTTCAGATCAACTCTCCACTCGCTTATCATTCTACTGCTGCTGATTCATACACACTTCAACAAAAAATGGCCGTGAGGCATGAAAAACAACAGCATGTAATTCCCTTTGATTTCGCATGATCTCTTGAAGTTTGATATTAGCGTAGATTTGAGCAAACATCACATTATTCTCATTTCTAATATTGAAATTTTCGAAAATAAACAAATGAAGAACACACGAGTTCTTTGTATTGAAACAATTACAAGTTGGAAAGTAAATTTTTCTCTTACTCTCTTCCATAAACAATCATTTTCAATGAATACATTCAAAATGTACCGCTACTTAATCAGACATATATTCTACAGACAAAGCAACTTAAAATATGCACTGTTACGGTTTCCCATTCATTCTTTTCAATTTCAAGAATACTTTCATACGAACCAAGTTCTCTTGTATATATATATATATATATTTGCTGTCACATCCATGGTTGAAATATCTCGAGTTCTTGAATACTGTTTTTTTTAATAGTCTATGTCTTTATGTTAAATGAATGATCAGAGCCGATTACTTATTTGTCTCCAGATGCTCACACATCATCGATCGTCCTTTATGGCTAGTCATGCATTGTATTTATTTTGCCTAAAGATATCTACATTATTGTCAATTTTACTTTTTAAATCGGCAATACCGACAAACAAATGTCAATAAAACGAAAGAATGAGTATATACAGATATGCACGAGTTCTCTTTTTTGGCATTAGTACGACTTCTGTTTTGATGTTGATACATGTACTGCATGACGCGCCATGAACTTATTCATTATACAGTTGAGGACGACAAAGCCTACCACTATGCTAGACATACATATAAACTCGTTTAAGCATATATACAAATAGAATATAAATCCATATTTATGTTTATCAGTTTCTATCTCATATCATTTCCTATCACAAACTGATTGTCAATGGTCAATTGAAGCGTGACCTATATTCGGACAAGTGATTACGACGATTGTATGAGACGGCGAAGGAGAAAAATAAACGAGAAGAATATCCTGTCATCAACAATAATTACATATATGTATTACTTTCTTTCTTTCTCACCGTTGTATATATGTAGCAATATATATATATATGTATATATTTCTTTTTGAACAAGTATTCACACCGAAGAAAATTATAATGCATATACTACTAGAAGAGAACATGAGAGAAAGAGAGAGAGAGAAAGAGATGAACCAGTAAGATAGGAGAGAAATGGTTATTTTATACCTATGAGCATTATTCCTTTTTTTTTCTCATAGGTAAGAAGAATGGCAAACACTTAACCTCCCATCTATAATGCATGTGAAACTAAGAGCACTAGTTTTATTTTATTTTTTGTTCAGACTTCATGGCAGCTGCAATACCACGTCATCTTCTTGAAACTTTAGTTAATTGCCCATCGTGTTCACAACGTTACACAGAGCCGCGAGTTCTTCCATCATGTGGCCATACGATTTGTAAATTCTTTTCAATGATTGTCTTTGTATTAAAGAGACTTTATTTTCTTTCTTGTATAAAGGTTCAATTTGTCTTGATAACGAATGGAAAGAAAAATACAATCGTTTTTGTCCAGTAAAAACTTGTCATAAAGAAATATGTTCAACGATAGGCAATTTAACCGATTTACCATTGAATCAGACTGTTCTTGATCTAATAAAATCATGCAATTTCAATGTCGAAGCCAATGGTAAATGTCAAGTTTGCAATCAATCTCCATCATTTGTTAAATGTTCACATTGCTGTTTATATGTTTGCTTTGAATGTGCCAATCAACATAGACGCGAAACATTAACAATATTAACAAATAATATCAATACATTAGAACAAGAATATTTGAATATGAATGATTATATTAATCATGCAAGAGAAAAATTAACTGAAACTCGACAAAACTCTCTTGACACTATACGAAATCATTATACGCGTTTAATTGAAGAACTGCGTCATGCACAAGTAACAAATGAAGAACTTGTTGAACGGCAAGCTGTAACGTGGAATAATGAGTTAGAATTAGTTATTAATGAATATAAACGACGTTGTGAGGATATTTCTACAACAATACAAGAATTGCGAACAACAATAACAGATTGGTCGACGATTGAACAATTTAAACAATTACAAATGAAACTCAATCATTTAGAAGAAGATATTCGAGAAGCAAATGAAATCTTTCATGAACGTTTACCGGATATGAAAATATTTGAAGTTGATCATGATGATATTCAAAAGAAGAAAAAGAAGATCAATCAAATCGATTCACCATCTCAAACGGATGAATTAATTTTAGGTAATGGCAAAAATCATTTATCAATTTTGTCAGGTTCAATACGAATTCAGCATCTTGACGGTAAATCAAATTGATAAATAACTTTAGTCATTAACAATATTCATTCAATTTTAGTTCTATTGTTTAGAAGAATAGAGGAGAAAGCAATCGAAAGATTGAATTGACCGAAAAAAACAATAATTCACTCTAATCTCATTCGATGAATCTAATACAAATATTTTTTGCTCGCTTTTTTCTATCATCATTCCTATGATTTCATTCTAGTCTTCTTTCTTGCAATAAGGCTTTTTAGAGATATGTATTGAATAATTTAGTCACAAAATCGTATTTTCTTCTATATGATGTTTGCATATTAATTGCATCATCGACCAAACCCATGTAGTGAAATAGGCACCTTATTTGAATAGAATAGATAAATTCTTTATAGAAAAACAAAAAAAAAACTTTATTAACTTTGAATATTCATTTTTTTCCTCATATAGACTCAACCAGTTCAGCGTCGTCTTCATCCAATAATGAACCAGTTCAACCTTTAACATCTAACCATGGTCGAATATTAAAAAAGAAACCAACTATTATAGGAAATCATTATAAATCTTTGAATACACTTGCTAATCATCATCACCATTCAACAAATACATCTGACAATCGTACTCATCCTAATGATGTACTCGAACAACAACAACAACCATTATTATCATCACCAAGAACTACTATCAATCATCGTTCTCATCCACCTGTTTCGAATCATTCACTGTCAAAAACAATTTCGAATTCTATTGCTGATCTTTCTTTATCGACGAATAATAATTCAAAAACATGTTCAACGCCCGTTCGTGTATCAACATTTCAGTCAAAATTAGATTATTGTAATAATGAATGTTATAAAAAAATTCCTCTATCACAAAATTATGATTGGGGAATGTTAGCTATAACAAATACCGATTTAATCTTAATGTACAATAAAGATAAAAACTCATTAGTAATATTTGATTCTAATGGACACGAGAATGAAGTAAAACATAAAAGAAAAAGAACTCATTTAAACTTTGATACATTTTTATATATTGAACTTTGTTTTGTTTTGTTTAGAGAATTCAATGGTCTGATGGTGAAATAAAAGATTTATGTATTTATCACGATGACAGTATAATCATCATAGGCGAACATAAACAAGCATCATCGAAACCACTTGAATGTAAATTGTATCTATGCAATTTAACACGCAAACAGCTTGAACGCGAACGTGTTGTTGAACGTGGTCTTAATTCTCAGCGTGTAACATCTGATGAAAAATTGATTTTTTATGGTTCAGAAAAAGGTTGTAATAAATCAAAAGTATCTGTATTTGATCATGATTTACAAGTACAGTTAACTTTTGAATGTGGCGTTGAAATACGAAGTTTAGTTGTCGATGCACAATATTGCTTCATATTAGGAAAACGACGTGAACGTGAGCCAGGAAGATATTTTGTTGAAAAACGTCAAAAACATGGTAAAGAAATTTGAGCATCTTTCGCTTGATCTGTATACTTTGAAAGTTTTTTTTTCCTTAAAATTTAAATAGGTCAACTTGTTCGTCGCATTGATTTGTACAAGTTAAATGTTGATAATGTCAATCGATTGATTATTGATCCAATCAGTGGTGGTGTTATTGTAACCGACGGAGGCAACAAGAAGATTTGGGCAATTGGATCGGATGGCGAAAAGAAATCTGTACAATATCGGCCATGGCGTAAGATATTCAACAATTTGAATATTATTTTTCCTATAACGATTTTATTTTATTTTAAAGCATGGAGCGTTGGATTTTTAACTACAGATACATTAGTTATTCTACATGCTGGCTGCTTAACTTTTCATATCGTTAATCATAACAAACAAATCAATAATGGAACTAAAATTCGAAATATTATTACGAACGCTGAAAAAGTTTGAAAAATTCACTTGCAATATTTCAAATAATCAAACTGATGCTATCGTTTGTTGTTAGAAGAATTGTGTTTTTCTTTTAATTTCTCAGCGGATCATATGAAAATGTTTTTCTTTGCTGTTGTCCATACTGTGTATATTATTGTTTGTTTTTAACGAACTTCTCATTTATTCTAGTAATAAATAAAGATGATGACAACACACTAAGTAATAGAGTTTGTCTATGATGCATCAGTAAGAATAACATGAATAGCCTTACTGTGGAATTTATATTTTGTAATCGCTCACAAATGATTGAATTGATAAATCAGATGTAGAGATTTTTCCTTATCATTCAAATTGAAATGGATATTAATCTTCTTTTCATCTGCATCAACACTCGCTAATAGAATCCGTAAAGTCGAAAATAGTTGAATCCCGAATCAGACTCGTATAAAAGACAATTGTTCAGGCTCAAGTCATAACTAAATCGAATGAAGTGTGGCACTTACTCAAAAGATTCTTATCATTTTCGACATCACAATTCATATTTTAGCTTTAGTTACGTTCGCTATTCAGATTCTACTTCAAGTTACATCCGTTGTTCACTCCCATATGGTATGCGCGACACACAAATACGAGTGCAGATGAAGGATGAAATGAAAATTTGAGTTCATGTCTTCAACATAAACTTCTGGTGGCCAACTAAGATCGATTGGAATGTTTGCAAAAGTTGATGACTCTTATTTTCATTGCGACAAAATCATGTTTTTTCCTCTTCATGTTCTCTTATGGACTTGATCGCTTACAAGTGAATTTATTGTTTTCGTTCTCGTTCCTTTATTATCTGACACATTTAGAGGTGTCAGCCGAAGGGGTGAATGGCGACGGCGGGCAACAATTTTCAATTTTTCAAGATTTCCAGCGGCTCGTTATTTGAATGAGTAATGTCTTCAGCGGCGGCTGCTACAAATTCTTAAATTTGTTTTTCACAGCGGCGGCGTCGGCTGATATTTGTAAGTCCTTAAGTGACGGCGGCGGGTCAGTTAAAAGTTCACTGATGAAAATTAAAAGAAAAATGTTCGATTCGATCGCATATGTATTGATGTCAGCGGCGGCAAATAGCGCTATCAAAAATTTTTATCTCTTGCAGCGGTGCAACGGCTAAACTTGTTTTTTCGCAGCGGCGGCTCCCCCAATATTCTTAAAATTGCCAGTAATTTGGTGGCTGCGGCGGCTCAGCCGTACGGCTGACACCTCTAGACACATTATTCTATCGTTCTTTTTTGTTTGCACTCTCCGAAACAAAACTTTTCATCTAGAGCACATGAAATTATATTTTCTGCAACTATTTCTATCGTTCTTTATTCATACGTAAATAAACAAACGAAATTTCTTCAAGCAATGAAAATTTCAGCCCTCACAAGAAGAAGAAATCCATGGCGATGCAAATTCATCAAATTAGTTATTCATGGTTAGATTTGTTTTATTTTAAAATATTTCGAAATTTAATAAATAAGAAAAAAACAACATCCGATAACTTTGTACTCATTCTTAGTGCTGTTCATTTCTCGGTTGAAGTCGAACAATAACTTGATCGGGCGCAATAACAATATACTCTTTCAGATTTTCGAATGGTTCATGTGTTTGATCACCACAATCGATGACAGAATATTTTTTCAACAGACAAATAAGTAGCATCTTCAATTCTGTCAAAGCAAATCGCATTCCAACACAATTTCGGGGTCCAATTCCGAACGGAATCCATGCCATTGGATGGCGTTTCGTAGCAAATCGTTCTGGATAAAACTTATGCGGATCAACAGGTCCCCACAAATCAGGATCGAAGTGTAAACTATAAATGTCAACCGTTATTGATGTACCAGCAGGAATAATGCCAAAATTTTTTATTTGAAAATCTTCAGTACTTTGACGATTGATTGCTATGGGTGCTATTGGATACATACGAAGAGTTTCTCGAATAAACATGTCCAAATAATCCATTTTAGATACTGTATCATACGATGGCCTAACATTTTCTGTTTCAGAATCAAAATAATTATCGATGTGTTCTTGTAATTGACGTTGCTCTTCTGGATGAGTTGCAAGAACATATGCAGCATAAGCCAATGCAGTACTTGTTGTTTCATAACCAGCGATCACTTAAATTTAAAGATAAGAAGAAGTTCATAATTTTAAAAATAACTAAAAGACGATCATCTCTTACTGAATATAAGAACATTCGAAGCGATTTCAGGTATGGTTAATTTACGAACAATTGATTGTTCGTTAATAGCTTCATCTGTTTTATTACAAAATGATTTCGAATCCTGAAATAAAAATCAAAATATGTTTTATTTTCGACGATACAACAAATAGACCAGCCTACTTCAATGACGTCATCTTTTGATGCTGATTCAAGCATTAATTGCATTAAATCAGTTCGATTATTTTGACCGAATTTTTCACGCTTATCAATCAGTTCATATGCTTGTCTTACAATCCATTTTGATGGTTCTTCGTCGACATATTTTTGTGTAAATGAAAACCTATGTCGAATCCATTGACGTATGTAATTCTCAACTAAATGTAATCCGTACCAAATATGATTCAATTCTGTTATAAATAAAGATAGGAGTACTAAGATTTTCACACTATTTTCTTCGCTAAAGACTTTCTGCGCATGAAATAAATATGGATTATGAATATTACTTTGCATGTCAGTCTCGATACCAAAACAGCAGGACCATATTGTATCCATAGTAAATCGCTTGAAATAAGCATAAATATCGAATGGTCGTTTCATTTTGTGTTCTTCAGCCATTTTCAACATAAATGCATCAATACTTCGAGAAAGAAGCGCCATCATTTTCTTAATTTTTGCTGGCGAAAATGTTGGATTAATTACAGTACGTTGTCGTTTCCAACGAACACCAAAAGCACTGAAAATATTCACAGTTTTAGTAAATCGATTTTCAAGTGGAAACGTTCGGCGCGAATGAAAATTTGAAAAAGATTTAACAAACACATCTTGTAGTACGTCAGGATCGGATATGACTAAAATAGGAGTATGTCCTTCGAAATAGCCGAAAACACGACCATATTTTTCTGTCCACTGTTTAATTGAGATTGATAGGCGTTTAGTTTTAACAAGATCGGAAAAATTTCCAAAGAGGAGCGTCGGTGGAGGGCCAGGAATAGCCAATCGATTGAAGAGACTATATTTCTCTCGAATATGTCTAAGATAGGCAATGATAATGATCAAAAATGTGATTAATAGGAACCCGGTGAGTAGTAGCATTTCACTTTTGATGCTAGTTCTTGAAATGATTATTCGTTAGTGAAATTTTTTATTTGGGTTCATCGAATGAAATATTTCGTTTGCATCTTTCTTCAGTTTGCATTAAAACTATATTATTTACTTTAAATTCTTTTATAATAATGAAAATGTTTTCCCCCTCTATCAATTCATAAGAGCACTTTTTTCATTTTACTCTCAAAATAGACTTTGTCGTCATATGAATCAAAAAAATAACGTAGGAAAAATTCAAGTTGCATAAAATTCACATTGGGAACACGATCTTGACTTTTATTTATTCTCTTCTTTGGAAAGGATTCAGTTGATCAAAACGCGCTGTGTTTTTTCTCTATCTAAAAATTACACTTTTTCTTCGAGTGGATCGGTTTTATCGAAATCCGTGAAATGATCTATGGTAAAAAATAAGAAATTGTACATCGAATAAAATAGTTTATTGTGGATATTAGAGTTTCAAATAATGCAAAAAGAATTCGTTGATTTTAAATTAAGGTAGAACGAAACGTACATTTCAATTCTAAAGAACTACAAGTTCGGCTGCAGAGTGATCAGAATCCGATTAAATTGCGAATATTCTTATTATATTTTAAGCCTATGTACTACAATGATCGCAAAAGCCAATTACGATGCACTGAATCGATTTTTCAGCTTTAGTTTGAGTAATAACACATACGGGGAATAGATTGCTAGTATTTACTGTGATTATGCATTTAGAATTACTTCATATTCATTAAAAAAGTAAATTATAGATAAAAGATAGTAAAGAAAAGGCGAGAATACCATTGATGATGGGTTTACTCTTCCTATACAGTTTAGAGCAATTTTAAAATTTTTGTACGAAGCAAACAAACGAAGTCAGAAAGAATAACACGCAGAGAAATTGCCAATACCTTTCAAATTCATCACTGTGAAAAATTTCATTAAGAAAAATCTATGGAGAAGAGACTCAACAAGAAGCCTTCAATTGATGGGGCTAATTTTACAAATAAGCCCATAGTAATTTTTCTTACATCAGTAGAAAAAGAAAAATGTTTGCTTTCTATCGTTAATCAGGTCAATATCTATTGCTCTCGAAGTAGTTGTATATGCTGTTTATCGTCTTTGCAATTTGTTTCACAATATCTCATATTGTGAGTTTGGACGAAGTGAAAGCAACATATGATTCGAAATCTAATTGATATGTCGATTTTCTCTTCACTCACATCTGCACTATGTACTCACATCCAATTCATAATGGAGTCTATCGAATACAGCGTAAGTCTTGATTCAGGACTTGGATCTGAGTCTTAAAAATTGCAGATTCAATCAGCTCGACTTGTGAGCTACCTGTTGTGAGGACGGTCTCAGAAAATTGCATTGAAAATACCAAAGTTCATTTCTAGTGAATAAAATTTCAAAACTTTTCGAATGCAATCAACTCTGAAATCAACAATCGCGATTCATGAGATGCCATACCACAACATTGACAAACCACATTCATTTTTAATGCGCTCGAATGCCCGAATTTTGTATAACAACTATTGACAAAAAAGAAAACATGACCTAGATTTTTGTTTTCGCTTGAAAACACTTTTCGAGTTTCTTTTTGTAGGAAATAGAGAAAAAGAACAATCGTTGCAAAAGAACAAATAAACCTTCATTTATTTTTGCCATTGGTGTTGCACCAAACACGAAATCCTTGAAGCATCTTCAGTCTTTGTGATGATAAAATTATTCGTGAGAACTACTTCAAAGTTACTTCTATTCAATATTATGAATCAACCGATTGGAAAAGTTAATAGTTTCTCAACGCGATGAAGTATCGATACATTGTCAAAAATGTTTCAATGATAGGAATAAGAAGATTGCTTTTATATGTTTCTCGACCATCAACCCTAAAAGCGTTGGATTTCTTTTTTTTGGTGGGCACTTCTCAATAAGAAATGTACACAAAACAACAGTAAAAGATCTCAATAACTCGATGAGCAAGAACAACGAAAGAAATCGTCATCGTAGAAGAAAAGAAACAATCTAGAATATTTGTTTTTGCTGCAAACTTGAAAGCAATAATTCAAAAGAGCACTTATCAACTTTGTATTAGGCAGAAAATAAAATCTTTCTTGCTATCTTATTTCATATAAAAAGATATTAGATAAAGTTTATCTTAATAACAGAGTGATGGGGATTTCTCAAGTGAGTATAACTTTTGAGGCGCTTTGTATTTTGAGTTTGATACTCTCTCATTCTATACATTCTTATCTGTATATTGACTGCTCAATTTAGCTAGAAACGAAATTGCAGTAAAAGAATGATAACTCTTTTTTACGATGACGAGAACTTAATTCTAATCATTTAATGTTAGTACAATGGCCATGTTTACTATTTTAATCTATTACAATATATCGTTTCTATTAATTTTATTGTATATTTATTTGTTCGATTTAGTTTTTTTTTACAAATAATTTAAATCTTAAAAAATGGGTTTTTGACGATTAAAAGAAAATTGGCATGGCATAGGTTTTGGCTTCGATCACAAAACAAACATTTTATATTACGAAATTCTATTGAAGAATGACTATTTTTCGTAGCTTTTTACTTGCTCGTATTAAATGATGGTGTGTGTGTAGGATGTTCAAAAATATTTCTCAACTATTCGTATGGGCTCCAAAAAAGAATCAGAAGAATATTATATTACCCTGATCTTATTGAACAGAGGAGTGCCATCAATAGCATCATACATATGTCCGTAAAGTACAATAGAACAGACAAATTGTTCCATTACAAGAAATGATCTCTACATTCGATGAAATCACAAAACCAAATTATAACAATAGCATGACCAATAGGAGAAGCCTTATTCAATAAAATTCGTACTAAATATTATTTATCCTCATGCATAGAGAATATCCAGTTGCTAAAAGGTTCTTTATTGTTTAGGTTGAACTATGAAAGCATTTACTAAGTGCAAATAACACGAACAAAGTTACTAGTTCTGCTTGTTAAATTTTCATATTCAGAAAATAATCAGCATGTATTGAGAACTACAATCGAAAGGAAAAAAATGTTTCCTTTCATCTTTTGAAATATTTATCTCGGATAAGAAGGAGTGGCCACATTTTTCTTCAATTCATAAAAGAACATTACACGTAGTCAGCACTCGTCTATACGGAAAAAGAAAGAACTTGTATAATTAAGCATGAATGTTGCTACACTTCAGTCATTGATTAGTTAGAAAGGCCTTATTAAAACTGTTAGAAAATCACAATAACATGTTAAAAAGAAATATTAATATTTTATTTTTTTCGCTCTCAGAAACATTTTTTGCTTTAAAAGCAACATTAAAATAAAAAAATCGGGCTTCTGCTTTTTTTCAATGGTTCATTGCACTGATTCATAAGAACAATATTCACTCTAAAAAAAAGTTACAAAAAGTTGAATGTATTTTGTTATGATTTTCTCTTTTTTTTTTATTTGATCCGGAGATAATCATGCAAATTGAGGGAGGAACTACCAATACTCATGTGCCATTGATTAAATACACTTAGTACGTGACTGAGTTGTGAGAATTTAGACAAATATAATCTTTCAAGATCATTCAATATAGCCATGTGTCCATGAAATTTATAATAAATACGACGTTACATGAATATTAAAGAAAAAATAGAAAAAAACCTTCATTTTGCTTTTTGGTATGTTGAATCATGCATTAAATCGATTGTTTCTCTATTTGCCCTAAAAATAGGGATTTTATATGAAGAGACTTCACTTTACGTAATTGGTTATTATTATGACGTGTGCTTCTATATGTTTATCACATATTGTTCAATATTGAGTTTCACGTATCGTGACAGTAGAACGATCGTTTCCAAAAATTTCAATACATCATCTTTATTTCATTTATGATAATGACACCCTCTAGTTTTTTTTTCATTCTAGTAGAATCATCATCTTCAAGGTTATTAACACGACTAAAAATCATCGATCATGAAGTTGAGAACGCTCATTGGCTTTTTTTCATCATGTGAATGATGAACAAAGAAAGTGATCTAATCATTTAATATCTTCTGTTCACTAATTCTTTTCTTTGTGTCGCTCGTCATTCATTATTTTTTTATCTCTAAATGCATGCTCGAGGCATTGTTGATATTAGTGCAACTTAAAAATAACAAACAATCAGTTTTTGAATCTAAAATTTATGTTAAACGCAATTTAATTACTCTTTTGTATAACACAAATGTCGATCGAACAGAGGAAACTCGATTTTATTGTGCAAAAGAAGTATAAGCCAAGATCATACGATAAAAATGGGAAACAAAATTTTTCCGTTTCCTTTTTTCTCGTTCTCTCTCTCTCTCTCTCTCTCTAAAACATTAAAACAGAGATAGAGATAGAGAGAGAGAGAGAGAGAAAGATATATATATATATATAAAGGAAAAATGTAAAATTACAATACATGTTGGAGGTCTTCTCTTTTTTTAAGCAACCAAACCACACTTTCAAATACACAATTTTCTGGTGCCACAGTTTGTTTTTGTTATATGTCAATATCATTTATGATATACAATCGAAGAAAATACAAACTAGTTACTTTTTCTCTCTCTAGATAGTCCATTTTTAAGTTAATCAATCGTACAACAGATAATGTCAACAGTGAAACATAGTGCAGTTAATCTTCGATCAGAATTCGATCGTTTGGATTCTGTAAGAATGGCAAAATTTATAGATTTTTAAAATGTTTCTTATTTAGGATAAAGATGGATATATTACCATAGCAGAATTTCGTGCGTACCATGTACAAAAGAAGACTGATGAATCGATTATTGCAAAAGCATTTGCTGATATTGACACGGACAAAGACGGTCTTGTCACATTTGAAGGTAGTAAACTACTTTTTTCTCTCCAAACCTAAGACAAGTTATTTTTAGAATTTGAACGAGCTTACAAGAAGTAGCAAATTATGAAGAATAAAACTATGAACTAAGTTTTTCTTTGCATGTGTGTCAATCCGTATGCTTTTCGCTGTTCTTGTATTTCTACTAATAATTTATTGTTTCTGTTCGTATGCTTTTAATACGCATTATAAT